ACTGATAAGGAACGGACAACTGCCAAGAATTTATGCAACATATAGCTCTTTTTGTTGTAGCGCTATTTTAAATTAGTATGAATGGGCCTATAAATCATTTAGACAACAAGAAATGAGGAAGATTCTAAACACACGTGTATCAGCCTCTGTAATGGTTCGACACTAATGCCGTAAAACAAGGAATAAAACCCTGGCGCTATCCTGCGGCCTACAAGATAAAAGCAAATCCTCCTGACACCCAAGGAAAAAGTGTCCTTCAATTGTAGGTTATTTGCTTTGGAGGAAATAAGACATCTTACAATTTAGAGTTTTTCAAATTTATTCTTATTTTAATTTCACAGCATGTCCTCTTTAGTGCACAACAAGAATAAATACGTTTCCCAACATCAGTGAAAAAATAAATGCAAAAAAACAATGTCCACTACAATGGACATAAATGATGTGTGCCACACCCCCTCATTACCTCGTGTGAATCCCCGATTGTGGTCACCTGTTGCCTGTTATGTTCAACCTGTCTTGTGCATTTAGTCCGTGTCTCAGTTAGTTTCCCCAGATCCGTCATTGTAGTGTCCGTAGATGTCCGTGCCTGTCCGTCTTTCGCCTAATAAACCCCGTTTACCTGACTTCCTGGCTGCTCTCGCCTGCTTCCACGGCTCGCCTGCCGTCCGAACGTGACAATATGGCACCAAAGCGGGTTCAATAGTCTTTAAAAGAATAAAATACATGAATTTATTAATGTCTGATAGCTGCTGTACTCTGGCCTATAATTAACTACACTGGTTAATCATAAAAACAGCTGCCACTGATTGTTTACTGTAACTTAAAACAATCCCATTTGCCAGATTAATAGCAAAGTTTGCGTTAAAAACATTATTACAATCGTGACCACCCAAAAAAGTGTCCTCCGGAAACACTTCTGTTGTGTTGTGCATATTTGCAGCGCGTTTCCGAAGTGGCACTTGTTTTCTGTGCCACTGTACATCAGAGCCCTGCGATTTATTTATTTTGAGCTTAGCTAGGCTTTGTAGCACATCAGCTTCAGTTATACATATATTAGTCATAGATGACACTAGATTAGTAATAAGAGTCGGCATGTTACTTGTGCCCTCTACCCGTGCAAAACAATCATTAAATTCATTAACTATATCAGTTTCATTTTCAATTATAAGATCCTTACTATCCTGCAGATTAGTGATTCAGCTTTTAGAGCTTTTATTAGTTAACATATTGGAAGAAACTTTTAATGCCATCCTTAACCTCCAATGAAATCTTTCTTTCGACATTCCTCCAGTCTAATATTATTTCTTAATTCAATCTGTAGACTTATATATTCCTGCTTTATTCCGACATCATTGGCTATTTTCTATTTGTGGAATAGAGCCCTTTTCCTCCTGACTTTATCCTTAATTTCAGTAGCAAACCACCTTGGTTGCAGTTTCCTATGTTTAGTTTTGCAGGAAACAGGTATGAAGTCCTCTTGTGCTTGCAATAATTGCTCTTCAAACACTAAAATTAATCTCAAATTTAATCATTGATCACTACTGTCAAGTGGTTCTAAAACCTCAAATTTTCCAATCCTGTCCAGGTTATTAAAGAAAACAAGATTGAGAATGGCTTCTATCCTGGTACAGGATTTAACAAACTGAGCAAAAAAGCAATTCGTTACAGTAGAGCCAATGTCACACTACCGTATATCCCAGATAAATTAAAATCGCCCATAACTAATACATCATTTTTATTACTCATAATCCTGATATCGTTGTATAACATTCTGCTTTCCTCTGCAGTTACATTAGGTGCTATATAACAAACATCAACAATTAGGCCATTTGAGTTTTTAGCATCCACTTGTACCCAAGTAGCTTCTATACTTGTATTTTTATCAGTGAGTTCCCTTGCCTGCAAGTTTTCTTTTACATAAAGTGGAACACCACCTCCCTTCTTGCCTATCCGGTCCCTACGGAACAACATATAACCATCCATAATATTTTCGTCTCCATCCTTGTCACTCAACCATGTTTCAGTTAATCCTATAATGTCGTAAGAGTCTGATTAAATAAAAGCCGCTAAATCATGAATTTTGTTTCTAATACTCCTAGCGTTTAAGTGAAAACAGCAAAGGGTAGGCCTTTAATTATAATTTGGGGTTTTCCATCTCCCCCCACCTATATTCTTAACTAACCTCCCTAACTCCGTTAACTAATCTGCCCCCCAGTCCCTAGTTTAAACACTCTTCAACTACTCTACACATATGTCTCCCCAATACACTGGTTCCCTTCCAGTTCAGATGCAACCCATCTGGCTTTAACAGGTTCTACCTGTTCCGGAAGGTCCTCCAGTACCCCATAAACCTGAATTCCTCTTTCCTACACCACCCTGCGCACATAATCGAGAAGGTTCCCCTCCCTGGGCACCAGGCAAGCAAGTCACCATACTGTACGGGACCCTCTATCACGTGTGCATACATAACTGTTCACACCTCTAATAACTGAATCCCCCACTACCCTAACCCCCCCTCTTCCTGGGGGAGGGGGCTCCTACTGTAGGTGCCAGAGGGCCAACCTGCCTCCCCAGTCTCTTCCGGCTCCAAAGCTGGAAGCACCTGAAAGAGGTTTGTCACAGTCACTTCAGGTGATACCGCCTCTGTAACGTGTGTACGCCCTTTCTTACATCTGTGACCTACGGTCACCCAGCTCTTTCAACCTCCCTGTTCTTCATTCCTGTGGCATACACACAATCTCCCTAAAAGGTGTATTATCTATCTCTTCTAATTCTGTGTTGTGCCGGATGAGAGCCAGTTGCTCCTCAAGGTCACGAACCTTGATCATGAGTATGTCCACCAGCTGATATAGCTCACAGATGAAGTCCGACTGGACACAGGCATCCAGAAGGGCAAATACAGTATCTTGAAAACACAACACTGAACTGGCCCCATAATTAACTATCTGACTATGACCCTCTCCCATACTCCCAGCCAAGTATAATTATGTGGCGTACTCTATTTGACTTTTAGTTGATTTAATTAACGTATAGTTAATACATAAGAACATAAGAAATTTTCAAACGAGAGGAGGCCGTTTGGCCCATCAAGCTCATTTGGGGAGAACTTAACTAATAGCTCAGAGTTGATAAAATGTTATCTAGCTCTGATTTAAAGGAACCCAGGGTTTTAGCTTCCACTACACAATAAAGTGCTGAGTACAATAAAAAAACTAAGCTATCACTTACCTTAAAACTGAACTTTTTAATGGTCTGTCAGGGTCAGAGATATAAAAACCTTTAAAATTAGACTTTTTTAAATAACCAAATTAACTATTACTTACCAGAGAATAACTTCCTACTGAACCATGTAACGCTAAAATAAAGTAAAGTTGTTCTTGGGAGGCCGAAAAACCACAAAAAGGAACCTCTTACAGCAGCTGGCTATTGCCGGAGTGGGAAAAAAATTGAGAAATGCCCTCCCAGCCCTGACTGGTGACCAAGCAAAGCCCAGCAGCAACTGTGCTTTCCTGGTGCTAGTTAATGTTACCACTGTTAGATAATATTCGTTGTGAAGTTACTAAGACAGAAAACGCTGCTCACGCAACTAGCATTTGTTATGTTTATTAATAAGGACAGATAAGCACTCACGCAGACTGGAAAAAAACAGCCATCCATGTAAACTGAATTAGTATACATAAACACACAAATATACTGCCAAACAATCCCAAACAACCACTGCAACACAAGCGCAACAGAAGTGTACACTGCATGTACGCCACTCTCTCTCAGTGCAGCAAACCCAGCAGCCTCTGCCTGCAGCATTGTTAGCTACTTTGGAATAATCAGATGTGGGTTGTGCAATTTTCATGAATATTTGCAAGAATATATCTAGGAGGAATGTGAAACTTTCACTTCCAGGAGGGAGATTCAAGTAACAGCTCTTATCTCTAAGTTAATTCGGGTCACTGGTGTACTAATAATGTCATGTAGTTTGCAGTTAGGGCGAGAGGAGTATAATGTCAACATCATAAATCAGCTTGCCTACAAAACGAGCTCTATTGTGTTTGTCACTTAATTTTTTTGGCAGCCTGGCCAATCTCTTTATCATTGGTTGCATTATCTGTATTTGAAAGTACTTGCATATGACATATGGTTCTGTTAGCTAGAAATGCCTTCATAAAACACAGTAAGATGGTTTGTTTAGCCAAAAAGGAAATTATTGCCTTACTTGCTAAATGTCCATCTTGTTCCTTATCAGACAATGGGGTTAGTTAGCATGGGTGAATGGTGCCATCTGCTGTTTAGAACTGATGAGATTTTAAAGCTAGCTTTTATTTTATACAATGCAAAATCACAGGAAACCATTCCCAAAAGACACAGGGCATGAGGCTGAAGGACCCACCTGGATGGATCCATCATAAAGCACACACACTTACTAAAGATGATATGGAGACATACATGCATATTATATATATCAGCACCGGTGGGGCACATTTCCCAGCATGCCCTGGATGTCACTGACATAGCACTGTGCCATCAGGGTCACTACCAGAGATGACCTGAAGCAGGCACATGCACAGGTAGGGCTCAACCTGTGCAGACCACATGCCCTTTTTGTAATTACACTCGGAAGTGCCCTTTTTTTGGGAGTTTTTTTTTTTTTTAATAAATCAATGCTATTGGTAGCCCTTTACGTCTGTTTGTCTTTTTAACAAATATTTAACCAATTAAAGGCATTAAAAAGCGCATCTCTTAGAACCACTCAAACTGTCAGTCAGACTTCACAGCTCCGCCCCCTGAGCACCGCGAACTTACGTTTCAGCAAATCAGAGACAGAGTCATAGCGCAGAAGCAGATTAACGTCTTCGTCTCGTAACGGTAAAATATCTTGTTGTTTGAATAAGTGCAACGTTGTCTTTATGAAATAAACACTAGTATATCTATAAAGGTTCATATAATGCATCACCACACCGGTGTGATGTTGACGTAATGTGATGTCGTCGTTTTAATGATGGACAAATTGCACACATTCGCTGGTCAAAAACCCGCGGTGTAACTGCATTTTATCCTTGTCAGCTAGGTAAAATATATTATAAGAAATTTCTTGTCACGTTTCAGCAGGCAGGTGAGCAGGGAAGCAGGCGAGCCAAAAATGACGGGTAATCAGACAGACAGGTAGGGACATCTAACGGACAATACAATGCTGGATCTGGCATACATGGGGAGACGCGGACTAATATACACAGGACTAGGTAAACGGAACAGGCAACAGCTGGGCACAATCGGGGAAGCACACGTGTATAATGAGGGGGCGTGGCACACACTAGGAGCGGACGGAGCGGGGCGTGACATTTCTATTTTGATTTTATGGCTATCTGCTGAATGTGCTGATGCATGTAAATTACATGATGCAATTTATTAACATTTCATCATATTATATAGCCTATGGTCACACAGCATGGTAGGATAAAGTTTACGATGCTATTATATTATGCATGTGTTTGCTGGCTAGATTTTTAAAAAAAAATCTAGTATTGTATACTCCCCGCTCGTCTTCACATGTATAAACATAGGAAAACATGGTTTACTACTGTAATAATGTTGTATTTAATTAAAAAATCTTTACACAATGAGAATGAGAATCATCAGGTCACTGTGCATTCTATATATTTTATCACGCAGAATGTAATCTGCATGTATGCAAAGCAAAAAAAAAAAGAAAATGAACATCTTACACAACTAAATAATTTTAAAGGTACCCTCTATATGTATATATTATCTGTATAAAAGTTATTAATACTAATTAAATATAATATAAGAATATTATTGTGTGTTATATTTTTGGTGGTGGAGGGGTTCGTGGAGGGGTTGGGGGGGTGCCCTTTTTTCAGTTTCAGCACATGCCCCTCAAAAGGTCTGTGCACGGCCCTGACCTGAAGTCATACCCTATGGCTCCCCACTCCATGCTGCCAGGAGTAACGTCGGTGTGTCTCTCCACAACATTGGCAGGATTGGTCCTCTCCACTTGGTGATGCCATACATGCCCTCTACAGCCATCTTGGTAATGCTGAACCGAGTTTCATTGCTGAATACTGTATGACGCCACTCGTCATCATCCATGCCTCCACTGCTCCACGGCACCACTTCAAACACAGCCATCGCTGCACTGGTGTTAACGGTGAACCTGTAGTCCGGCTGATGGCATTGGTTGAGACACAGTGTGGGATTACGCGGGGTGTTCTACAGTGTTCAATACCTGTGTCTGGATGACATACGCAGATATCATGGGGTCCTGTAATGCTTGATGCACAATACAACAATACTCCCTTGGCGTGGTCTATCTTTGGTGACCATAACCTTCATGACGTGTGTTAACATAAAAAATATAGAAATATAATATTAAATATTTCAACTCTTAACTCTTTGTCCTCGGTATGACGTTAAACTGCATCTGGCCCTGCAAGCGGTCCTCCAACTTGCAGAGAAACAATCTTTGAAGGTTGGCGGCGGGATTGGCACTCCAGCAACCGTAAAACAACTCACAACTGCTCAATATAAACAGGCAGGATACTCTTCTGCTCTCCACGGGAGTAGCTCTGCTGTAGCCACCCACAGGAAGGCTGCATGAAGGGGATGGGGGAAAGTCTTCGGGAGCCTCATCCCCGGATGAGTCGAAACCGTCGGAGAGCTAATAGGGTCAGGCCTGTTGAGTATCGGGGCTGGTGTGGTGTTGAGTCATCGCCTGTTGCACGGCAGCACTTGGGTCCCAGTTTGAGGTGGCCCATCCAGGTAAGTGCGTGGAACGTCTTATCTCTCCGACAAGATGACCATCTTCCTGTGCTTTCGGGGGGAGCTTCATAAACTCCGCATTTCGGTGCCAGCACTCTCTGAGGTACGCAGACCGGGGAGTGGCCAGATCTCTGTAGGTGGGTATACAGTACCTACTTTTGGTCTGGTCGGTCTGATAGCTGCCATACTCAGGAAGTAGCTGTTGCTCTAGCGGATCGGCTCTTCCTGATGGTGTCTGACGTCACTCCTTTCAACGAGCGTATTATGAGGCACTCCTTGGGTGTCTTGTCTGTTGTCTCAGTGTATGTTCCAACTGCGGAGAGTGATGTCTCGTTGAGAGAGACATTTTACTCGCAACTTCGTTCATTGGTTGAAGAGTGCCCACTAGGTGACATTCTTCTGGCCATGGGTGACGTCAATGCGACCACTGGCACTGACAGGGCTGGCTATGAGGATTGTGTCGGTGCCCATGGTTTTGGAGACCGGGTTGAAAATGGCTCCATGTTCTTTGATTTTGCAAAAGGTCAGGGACTGTGGGTCACTGAATCCTGATTCCAACGCCCTGAGCCGCATCATTGGCCTTGGTACTCCAATACTGCTGGTGTGGCGAAGGAGATCGATCACATCCTCTTGGGCAGATGCTGGAGGTTCCTGCAGAACTGCAGGGTCTACAGAAATGCCCAGTTTGTGAATTCTGACCACAGACTTCCTGTTGCTCAGCTTAGATCTTGTAGGCTACCACCTACTGGGAGAATGAGGCTGAACTTAGCCAGACTCCAAAATCAAGCTGTTTCTGATGAGTTTGCATGCAGTTTGTGTGAGGAACTTGCAGACTTGGGTGCAACTGCTGACTCTAATATGATGTGGGAGACCTTCCATGATAAAACACTGAAGGTTGCCGAGGGTTGAGTTGGTGTTGCCAGTGTTCTCAGAAGGAGGTGTTTCATGGTTCATGGTTCTCAAAGCGGGGGCGACATGGTGGTGCAGTGGTTAGCACTGTTGCCTCACACTTCTGGGACCTGGGTTCAAGTCTCCACCTGGGTTACATGTGTGTGGAGTTTGCATGTTCTTCCCTTGTCATCGTGGGGTTTCCTCCAGGTACTCTGGTTTTCCCCCCCACAGTCTAAAGACATGCTGAGGCTAATTGGCATTACTAAATTGCCCATAGGCATGCATGTGTGAGTGCCTGGTGTGTGAGTGTGCCCTGCAATGAGCTGGCCCCCTGCCCAGGGTTGTTCCCTGCCTCATGCCCATTGCTTCCAGGATAGGCTCCAGACCCCCCACAACCCAGTAAGATAAGCAGGTTGGATAATGGATGGATGGTTCTCAAAGCTGATCCTCCAATCAGCTGTGAACCACCCAATTTCACTGAGATTGCATGGGTGGTGAATCAACTGAGGGTAGGGAAGGCCACAGAGATCTGTGGTATCCAGGGTGAACTCCAGGCTGGTGGTAAGGCTGTCCTCCTGGCATTAAAGGCAATTTATTTAGCTCTACAACCAGGAATCATTCTTGTAGCCCTACGTTGCACCCTTTCCAAGGCAGCAATGTCCTTTTTAAGGTATGGTGACCAAACCTGCACACAATATTCTAGGTGGGGTCTTAACAAGGAATTTTATAATCGTAGCATCACCTCCCTTGGCTTACACTCCACACACCTAGAGATGTAACCCAACATCCTATTAGCCTTTTTAATTGCTTCCCCACGCTGGTGAGAGTGGGACATGGAAGCATCAACATACACACCAAGGTCTTTCTCGTATTCAGCTATCAGTGGAACCCATAAAACATCTGTACTTTATATTTCTGCTCCCTGCATGGATTACCTTACATTTATCTACGTTAAATTTAATCTGGCAGGTATCAGCCCAGTCGCTAATTAAATAAAGATCCCATTGTAGCCTCTGTGCTGCTAGTTCAGTATCTGCTACACCGCTCACCTTGGTGTTGTCTGCAAATTTAACTAGTTTATTGTATGTATTGATGTCAATATCATAAATTAGGAACAATAGTGGTCCTAAAATTGAACCCTGCAGTACCCCACTATGAACGCAGGCCCACGGTGACATTGTGCCTCTAATAACTTCTCGCTGCTTCCTGTCTGTTAACCAGTTTTTCATCCAAGCTGCTACAGTTCCTAAAATCCCTGCAGCTTTGAACTTAAGCAAGAGCCATTTGTGGGGAACAACATCAATGGCTTTCTGGAAATCTAAGTAGATCACATCGTAGGCCTTTTTGTGATCAATTTCTCTTGTAGTTTCCTCAAAGAATTCAAGTAGATTAGTTAAATAGGACATACCTCTCCTAAATCCATGTTGGTTATCCCTCTAAATGTTATTTGAATCCAGGTAATCTATCATTTTCACTTGGATTATAACTTCCATTACTTTTGCAGTTGTGCAAGTTAAACTGATTAGCCTATAGTTTGCTGGATTACTTCTATCCCCTTTTTTGAATATGGGCATTATATTAGCATGCTTCCAATCAGAATGTACCTCACCAGCAGATAAGGATTTCTGAAATAGAAAGAAGTCTACCATCGATCGTATCCTGGCACTGAGGGTTCTCATCGAGCGCAAGCGCTAATATCGGCAGAGGTTCTTTGCAGCCTTTCTTGATTTTCAATAGTTTTGCATTTGGCTATGGTCAGTATCACTACTAGTAGCATGAGGCGATACCTGGACCCTACAGAGACAAATCTACGGTGGCCCCTAGAGACAAAACACAAACAAAAGAAAAAGCAGAAACAAAATGAAAATGCGAACAAAAGAAAAAGCAGAAACAAAATGAAAATGCGTTGCAATTCAAAAAAGACAAACAATAGAAAAAGCAGAACAAAATGAAAATGCGCTGCAAATTAAAAAACACGCACAAAAGAAAAAGCAGAAACAAAATGAAAATGCGCTTCAAGTAAAAAAAAAAAGACAAACAAAAGAAAAAGCAGAAACAGAAAGAAAATGCACAGCAAGTAGACGATCCCAAACCGGAAGTGCTTACCACGCTAGGGGGCGCGGTGAGCTCATGTGGCCCAGTCGCTACACAGTAGTGATGGGAAGTTTGACTGAATTAAGTTCAGCTTGACTATTCACAATTAAAAAAACAATATATAAAAAGCAGAAAGGTTTCGATGCTGAATAAACACGCGTGTGTAAATCCGATCCGAGCAAAGAATCAGAATTGAACGATGTGGCTGGCAGTGTGAACGTAGCCTTAGAGTCAGCATTCTATAATTGCAGAATCCGTGCCACCTTAAATGGGAGGTGTCGACAGAATCCTGTAGATGTCACTGTGCACGATGCAACGAAGGCTCCATAAAGGTTCTCAGCATTTCATTTCATGTTTTTGGTCACACTGCCATCTGAAATCAATCTGGTGAGCAGGTGGACACATTGATTTGAAAAACAAGACATGGTTTCAATAAGGATTTGGAGGTCTTATTCAGCTTGGGCCAGACAAATATGTAGTGTATAGTATACAGCAGGTATGCCACTGTAAGGAAACACTGCATCTGTAGTCTGGCCTTGACTAGTTTTATACCTGAAAAGCAGCTGCCAACATAGCATTTTGTGCAATTAATTGAATAAGAAGCCACATTTGCATGATGAATATGGAGACCTTATTTGTCTTGGGCTAGGAAAATATGAAATGCATACAGTAGTTCACAAAAGGTATGCCACTGTAAGGACACACTGAAATTAGTCTGGTCCGGATTGGTTATATACCTAAAAACAGCTGGCAAGTTATGACTTCGATGCAAGGTGTTATATTCAAAGTTTGGTTTGAATAGAGAACATAAATTTCTTTCTTTTTCTTATGGTCACTTGAATTTTGGCAGCCGTCAAATGGATGAGGGATGGTTTATCAAATATCAATCACTGATCTTGCAGATGGTAAATTCTGGCATGCCAATGAAGAAAACATAATTTTCATAGTGTATTCCTTTTTAAAATTAACTTAAGCATTTCTAAAAGTCACCAGCTCTAGGAAGGCACCAGCTCTTCACTTTATGTGTCTTTTGCTATTCAAATCTCAATAAGAAATTGTGTGATTTGCCCCTCATACCATACTGTGTATAATGTAACAATAGAGTGCATATGCATGGATCATGTAGGTGACAACAAATACATGTTCATCCAAGAAAAACCCTTTTTTAGGATTTTTCACAGCATTGCCACCTGTCAGAACCTAAAAAGGGTGACTTTATTTTAAGCCTAAATTTAAAAAATGCAATGATAATAAACACATAAAAAAATAATGATGTAAAATTAATAAATAAAATAAAAACATATTTATTGTTCACTGTGAAGCATAATGCTGTGTAAAGTGGCTGTGAAGGGGACTGATGTAAATGTGAGAAACAGTTATTAGATTTTTCACAATACACCTGTCAGGAAACCTAAAGTTAAGATACAGAAACTTGAATATGCAAGGCATTACTACATGTCTGTTAGCAAATAAAATAAGAAACATATTTAATGAAATGGGGAATTAAACAATTCTGTAATTACATGGAAGAAACCTGCAATAGAAAACCAATTGTTTGGTTTTTTTGTTTTGTTTTAATTTGAGAGTTTGGCTTCTTATTCAATTAATTGCATAAAATGCAATATTGCCAGTTATTTTTCTGGTATGAAACCAATCAGGGCCAGGCTAATTTCAGTCTGTTTTAAAATGGATGGATGGTATAAAAAGCTATATTAAATATGACAAGTTATGATATTCTTAATAGGTGAAGGTCATTACTTTATATAGGTGGCCATATTTTTGCATTTTTTTCAGTGTAAGGCTACAAATGTACCCAGGGCACATCAAATGTGTTGCATTTAAATTAAAATAATGTCATATTTTCTGGGTAGTTACATTTCCGCCTGTTTGAGCATGGATATATAATGATGTTTTATGGTGAAAAAAAAACACTTAGCGTTACACTGAACAACATTTAACTAAGGTACATTCATATGAATCACAATAAATATTCCTTATTATTGACTTTATTCTTGAGTATAACTAATATGAGGGCATGGATGACACTCCAATTAGCCCAAAAAAAAAAATATATATATATGCCTTTCTCAGTCTCCTCTAGCTGTTTAAATGACACAGGAATATGGGGCTGAAAAAACCCCATCCATCTTCCATCCACGTATCCTTATTCCAGTTTGTCCCAGGCAGCACAGGGTACAGGATGGGAGTATATCCTGGATGGGATGCAAATCGATCACAGGCCATATACAATGTGGGTAATATAGCAACATCAGAAAACGTTTGGACTGTGAGAGGAAGCCAGAGACCCAAGAGGAATCCTGCACATAAAATGCAGACATAACACACATTCAGAGCAGAGGTGGGATTTGAAGCCCCAACGTTGAAAGTACCATCATTCATACTCATTCATGGGCCAAATATGTTTATGTATGAGAGAGAAATAATAATCTGTCTTTACTTACGAATTTACACAGTCGCTCAGTTACCGTTCAAAACATTTTTCTGCCTAAGGAGGGAGCTCAAGAGTTACTACAGAGCAACTGAGGGTTCTTAGAAAAAAAAGTTTGTTTTTTTTTTTAAATAAAGAATCTGCAAAGGATCACACACAGATTGCAGTAATACAACAACTGTCTGTGTGTATCAGTATACAGTCTATGTCTGGGCTTGGGTTAGTGCAGTGTTGCCCCAGACCTGGGGCTTGGAATCCCACACTGTGGTATGTGGAGCTTACACATTCTCCCTGTGTTGTACAGGTTTTCTCCCACATTAGCTATAGTCTGTGCCTTACGATGGACTGGTATCCCGGCCCATCAGGACACAGATTTTATACATATTTGTGTAATTTCAATCCTTTAATCTTCTTATTCACTGTACGATTTCTCCTAATATGCTAATATTTAAACACCAAAACATTTATTTCTTAATTCATTTCTTCTTGCACAAATATTATAAAAGTGAACTTTTGCTAACAACCTTTATGTGGCCTTCCAAGGCTACTGTTCTGGGCTCACGGTTAATTATTTTACACTATGTCGCTGTATTCAGTAAAACCATATTGGTGTTAGACTATGGCAGGTATGCCGTCGTGTGTGGTGAAAGTGTTGTACCTCCTCTGTCCCGTTACCTTGAAGGGGGCTGTGTGCACATGGAATTAACAAATCCCTGCTAAAGATTTCAAATTAAATGCGGCAGGTCATGTATTGTTTGAACTCTATTTTGTACGTTATATCAAAATAGTAGTAGTTCATAGGGCATCCCAAAACTGAAGTTACTGCTGAAATAATGTTTCACATAACTTCAATAACAACCAAAAATAACTGAAAACATTAACTTAAGAGTGTGGATTCTAGGAGACCACGGATACTGTATAATTCATAAACTGATAAAATGCTGAAGTATGACAGCAATATTATGGCTTCTGCATTCCTTTAGCGTCTCATTGCTGTGATGCATATGTTTGCATGGTACCTTCATGGCAAGGATAGATATACTTTATATCACTTTAGTTATTCACAGAGGATGAAAAAACTCGACTGGGCAGAGAACTACATATGCAGAATTTCGGTCGTGACCAATGGTACTTCATGGCATCTCCGCACCTTCTCGGAAATTGGCTTTCGCCGATGTGGTGAGATCACGCGTTCCCGCTGTGGCCACGCCTCCCTACCGTCGTGTCTATGGAAACCAAACGGGACTGTCGCGCGCAGGGGCGGTCTAATGACGCGATTGGCTGCCGTATCAGGCGATGGGCTTCTCGCCATTTTGTCACGGCGGGTACATAGAGTCCTGTCGGCCATGGGCTGCCTTTTGAGAGATCGGTCTCCTAACATAGTTAACCAGCTAGGTAGCTATGTGCTCCGTGTACATATTTCTTTTAATGGACACAAAGTAACTTTTTGTTAAACGAAATTGATTTAATCGTCTATATTAGACTTAGCTTGACCTTGTCTGCGAATCTGATTCGCAGCTAACTGCAGTCCTCGTAGGGAGTCACCGCTTTGGGCGAGGTTTAACCAAAGAGGTAATGTTACTCAAACACGGCTACATTTATTGTTTATTAGTGGATTTTTAATTTTATTGTTCGGCTTTTGGTCATTAATACCATAGCCAGTCTGGTATTTTTTTGCTCGACTTGTCATATTAAAATTGTTAGCCAACTAAAGCTAATCTTAGCTAATTAGTTGGAAGCTAAGCTAACCTGTCAGCCAGCCAGACTGACGTTTCGTCCGTATCTACAGCCTAGCCGAGTAACAGCGAGTGAAGCCGTGTCAGTCTAATTTTTATTGTTGTTCTTCAGCTTATTATTATTATTCTAGGTAGCTGGTTGTTAAATGAACGTTGTACGCCTAATCCAGAGCCGGGATAGTAGCTTTCTTATGACTAGAGAGCGATGTATTTAAGCACCAAGCTTTAAAACACAAGCTTACTATCAAGATATTGATTTGAGCATTTTCTGTATTTTTAATTGCTCTCTATCAGGGACACTTGCTTGTTAAACGTGGATAGCATGCAGCTGTTCTAACCGTTGACATATTGGATCGATTGCACCGGAATTTCTCCTTTTCTGTTGTAATGCCGTAGTATATACGCGCAGTTTTACGTCAGTGTAGAAAAGCACGGCGAGGGACAGTTTTTCCCAATTTTAAATTAATTTATGTAATAATTTCCTTAAATAATTGCGGGTGTATTTGAATTTAGTTGTTTTAGGTAGTGAGGCTTTACATGTGCTTTCTTAATTTACTTTTACTTGCAGACATTTTAAATGTTTGGCATATTGCTCTTTATTCATTGCATGATTTCATACATTTGTTTTTTTTTTAAATTACATTTTTTTGCGAGTCATTTCAAGTAATATTGAATTATCGATTATGGCCAAATAGACGTGTATGAATTTATTAAATATATTAATTTTAAAATTTATTTCAGTCGGGCTATGTCAGGGCTACATCAAAAGAGAAGTTTTATTATTCCGCACTGTATCCACGTATGATAAGTCATTGTAACTCACTTGCTTGTTCTGGTACATGTTCACTACTAGTTTTCGGCCAAATGCCGTGTTGTCATATCGATGTTTTCATCTTGTTTTGTTTGGGTTTCTGGTATCTGTTTGAATTCAGAAACCGTGAATATGTGATTTCATCTTTGACCTGCCAGCATTTAACGCTGTAAAAACATAATGTACCTAAATGACGCTGATCATCACGTCAAACTTACATAAGGCATTTTAAACATTACCCGGTGGCACCCTGTTGAGGATTTGTTTCCTTACGGTATTGCAGGAAATCAATCAGCAAAGCGGCATCATGTTGACTGGATTATTCCGGATCCACGGCCTGTTTGTGGCCTCCCACCCCTGGGAGGTGATAGTAGGAACAGTGACACTGACCATCTGCATGATGTCCATGAACATGTTTACGGGCAACAACCAGATCTGCGGCTGGAACTACGAATGCCACAAAACTGAAGAGGTAGGAGCTGGGATGAGATCACAGATAGCATACCTGCTGTTGCATTCCATGATTTGTATTGCAGTTATGTAAATTTCTTTTTTGCCATTAAGTAACTGCTATCCTTTACTAGAAAAAAAAAGCTGAATGCAGAACACAAATCTTATATATTTTTTTTTTTTTTTTTTTACAGCAAATTCTTAGCAGTGACGTCATAATTTTAACCATAACACGATGCATAGCCATTGTGTACATCTACTTCCAGTTTCAAAATTTACGACAGCTTGGCTCAAAATATATATTGGGTAAGTTTTTCATTCAGCTCTGGCCCACAATTTAGGAAGTGTGTGTGTTAATGCTGTTTAAAGCTGTATAGTAATACATTCTGTTCTCCTCTTCTAGGCATTGCGGGGCTTTTCACTATATTTTCCAGTTTTGTCTTTAGCACAGTGGTGATTAATTTCTTGGATAAAGAACTGACAGGCCTTAAGTAAGGATCACAAATCTACATCTTTATCTATGTGAAATTGTCAAATCAAATTTTTACTGATGACTAGTGTCATCTGAACTTTTACATTTATTTTTGTTTTCTAGTGAAGCGCTGCCCTTCTTCCTCTTGCTGATTGATCTCTCCAAAGCATGTGCACTCGCTAAGTTTGCCCTGAGCTCCAACTCGCAGGTAAAGGCGGCAGTGGCCAACTGCTTGAAGAATAATCTCTGTCCACTGTGTGTAATCGGTATCAATGGGTATATAATAGTGTTCTTTTATTTCTTTGCCTGAAGGACGAAGTGAGAGAGAACATTGCTCGCGGAATGGCCATCCTGGGACCTACATTCACTCTGGATGCTCTGGTGGAGTGCCTGGTTATTGGGGTGGGAACTATGTCAGGTGAGTGGTCTGCTGTGATGGCTAACTTCTGAACTGGTCAGTGTTTTTCACCTGTGGTGTCCTGATCCTGGTATTGGCAGACTGAGCTAACAGATTGTGTATATATAGATAGAAGCCTGCAGAGATCTAGTCATATGGTGATGTATATTTTTCAAAGCTATGGTTTCAGTATGTGAATAAAATACCTCAGAATATGGAGATAAACCACTGTGGTACTGGAATGGTGTGGTTCCTTCAGTTGTGTGACTTCCTGTTCCTGTCCCTGTGTTTCTGCAGGTGTGCGTCAGCTGGAGATCATGTGCTGCTTTGGCTGCATGTCTGTTCTGGCCAATTACTTTGTCTTCATGACCTTCTTCCCTGCCTGCGTCTCCCTCGTGCTGGAGGTGAGGTGCTGCTGTTTGTGTCAGTAATGTTCTGTAGTGTGTTGTGCGCAGCTCAGAGATGCTGAAGGCTTTTTCCCTTCCCCCAGCTTTCCAGGGAGAGCAGAGAGGGGCGTCCCATTTGGCAGCTGAGCCACTTTGCCCGTGTCCTGGAGGAAGAGGAGGACAACAAGCCTAACCCTGTCACTCAGCGTGTCAAGATGATCATGGTGAGGCTCTGGTCCTGGCAAAACTAATAGCTCACAGTGTGGGTTTTAATATCAGGGCAGGCTGTAGGCTGGGTACCTTCATGTTTGTGTTCTTTCCCCGACCAGTCTCTGGGCCTGGTTTTGGTCCATGCTCACAGTCGCTGGATTGCTGAACCACCTTCACGAAACAGCACAAGCGAGGTACCCAGCATGGAGCTGAGCCTCAGCGAAAATGTGTCCAAGAGGATTGACCCACAGCAGACTCTGTGGTACTTCCATTTGTTAAAGTAAGAAACCCCCCCACTGGCCAATCTCTGTGCTACAGGGTTGTCATGACAACTATTAATCCATGCGTCCCTCCTCACCAGGATGACCAGTATGGACATCGAGCAAGTGATAACCTTGGGGCTGGCCCTCTTCTTGGCTGTTAAGTACATCTTCTTCGAGCATGTGGAGATGGAGTCCACTCTGTCGCTGACTAACCCCATTACGGGGCCTGCTATTGGCCAGCGGAGGGTAGCAGGGGAGTGCTGCAGGATGGAGCCATCACCTCCCAGGTCCCTGCGGAGGCCCACCACGCCGCCTGTGCCTGTCTCCGAGGAGAAGGGTAGGCTGCACACCTTTACAGTGTCACTAGTCTTCGGTTCCTCTTCTCCCGTCGCCGTCTGTGTTATACCTGTAATCACTCAGCCATGACTGATTGAAGGCTCCTTTGTCATCAGGTTGTAATATTTATTTACACCCACACCATGCATCCTCTCTGTTACTTACAGAGGAAGTCATCCGGCCTCTGCCCAGTGAACCGAAGACAATGTTTGTCCTTGGGGGTGAGGATGGCCCTCTAGAGGCTGTCGGGGAGCCTCTGGCCAAGCTGCCCCTGGAGCCACGTCCTGTGGAGGAGTGTCTGTCCATCCTGAAAGATCCTAAGGTACATTTTATCTCCACCATCCAAATGTTTAGATGTGAAGGGCATGTAGCACATTGTTAAGGATGCAGACTCAAAACTCAGAGGCTACTGGTTTGACACCAACAATACTGCTGTAGCACTCACAGCTGCGGGGGGCTTAGCCTGAATGCATGCAATGAGCTAAGCAGGCAGATCACTTTTCTGTTTGCTTTGAGGCAAAAAAAATAGTCACCAAGTTAAGAAAACAACCATCGCGTGCCTGCAGTTGTTCCCAGGTGGTAGCTGTATGTGTCTTTTGTATGATCTGCCTTGTATGTCACTTTGGAGGAAGGTATCTGCCAAGTAAATAGATGTAAGCGTGAATGTAGAAGGCACATACCTGAACTAATCATGCTATTGGTCTCCAGATGGGTGCCAGGTACCTCAGTGACGCTGAAGTGATGCTGCTGGTGAACTCCAGGCACATCCTAGCATACAACCTGGAGGCTGTCATGGAAACGCCTGAGCGCGGGGTTGCGATCCGCAGGATGATGCTGACCTCCAAACTCCCCAGGCCTTCTGCCCTCAGCTGTTTACCCTATAAGAACTATGACTATTCTAAGGTACATGCAATCACCCCCTTAGCTGGGCCTAAGAGCCTGGATAAAGTTGCAGGTTTTTAAGCTATGCTGCCTTAAACAGTTGACATTTCAAGATCAAATGTGTAGTGTACACAGAGTAACTGTTGATGTGGCATTGAGACTAGATTGGTAGCTTTTAACAGCATAGTTGACTGTTTGGCACCTTCTAGGTCATGGGAACTTGCTGCGAGAACGTGATTGGCTACATACCTGTGCCCGTGGGGGTGGCGGGGCCTCTGCTGCTGGACGGGAAGCAGTTCCATGTGCCGATGGCGACGACGGAGGGCTGCCTGGTGGCCAGCACTAACCGAGGCTGCAGGGCCATCGCTGTGAGTGTGCGCGTCATGCCATGGCATCAGCACAACATGCAGAACCAGTTAGTGCTCCTTCAAAGCCCCAGCTGGGTGAGATAGGTCTGATGCCTGGATTTTATCATCAACTGTGATAAGGAGCTTCTTAGCAGCAGAATACCTGTTAGCTGTTTGAGAAGAAGTCATCTCTCTACACTTCAGTGTCCCTCATAGTCACCCGTGTCCCTCATCAGTAGATCTTCATGTCAAACATTGTACTGATGTCAAGTGAAGTTGGTCTGTATTGCTATTCTAGCTGTATAATCCACAGCATCCAGTGGCATGAAATAACATTTCCTTGGACCGTGGTGCTGGAAATGTCTTGTTTACAGTCTTTATGTACAAGTGAAATGCATGAAGGGAGCTAGGGGTATCCATACAATATATCAGATACTGTAGCGACTGTGAAAATGATAAATACAACAGATATGACATGTAGACATTGTATTAATATTGCTGTACAAACAAGCTTCTCTGTCACCATAGGAGGTTGTGCTGGCCATTGTGTGGCTGTATGTTATTACCCCCTGAGCTCACCATAAGGGCCCCACTGCCCTGTGCTTCCACAGGAGAGCTTGGGTGTCCGGAGCCAGGTCCTCGCCGACGGCATGACCCGCAGCCCCGTGGTTCAGCTGCCCTCTGCCTGCGAAGCCGCCGAGGTCAAGGCCTGGCTGGAGAGCCCCAAGGGCTTCTGTACGATCAAGGAGGCCTTCGACCACACCAGCAGGTGAGGAAGGGGCTCCGGCCGCCACAGGCCTGCTGTGGCAGTCCCTGGCGGGGCGGACAGTGTTACCCACGCTCTCCCTTCCGCAGGTTTGCCCGTCTGGAGAAGGTGCTGATTTGCCTGGCCGGGCGCAACCTGTACATTCGCTTCCAGTCCCAAACTGGGGACGCCATGGGCATGAACATGCTCTCAAAGGTCAGTGCTGATGTGGTTCTTTGCTCTTCATATCAGTCGCAGTCTGTGTCTGTATCACTGAACTTCGTTGCACTGTGTAAACGGAGAGTGTGCACTCATCCTCAGACCAATCCAAGTGATGGTGCAGCTGAATGAATAGTAGTATTGGAGTATTAACTCAAATCATGACAAGTCTGATCTATATCCACTACAGGGTACGGAACAGGCCCTCTCCAGGCTCCAAGAAGAGTTCCCAAAGGTGGAGATCTTGGCAGTGAGTGGGAACTACTGCACAGACAAGAAGCCCGCCGCGATCAACTGGATCGAGGGCAGGGGCAAGTCTGTGGTGTGTGAGGCCACCATCCCGGGTAGAGTGGTCCGTGAGGTGTGTGGCGCTCCCTCTATCCGGCACATGATCACTGTGTGGCCGGCTCAATGACAATGAGCACAGTGTGTCTTCACTCTACTGTGGTAATCAGCCCCTGCTATCATGCTGTAGGTTTTGAAGACCACGACAGAGCGGCTTGTAGAGGTGAACATCAACAAGAACCTGGTCGGTTCTGCCATGGCCGGTAGCATCGGCGGCTACAACGCACACGCATCCAACATAGTGACGGCCATTTACATTGCTTGTGGCCAGGTGACCTTGAGCTTTCTGAATTAAAACATTACAACCTTTTTTAAATTGTGTAATATATTCTATGGAACTGATCTGTGGCATGGTGATACAGTTGCCTCACGCCTCTAGAGCTGGGGGTTTGAGGCCCTGTTTCGTGTGTGTGAGAGAGAGGCTAATTGGTGTCTTTAAACTGCCCACTGTTTGTATGTGTCCTGTAATGGACTGCTGAGCTTGACCATGATAAATAGTTGGAGGATGGATGGATATATGGATGGAACTGGTTTATAAGACAGCAATCATCATGGCATCTGCTTGACTGCATTTGAAGTTTCCGCTGATGAGGTTTGCTCCTCCTGATAGGACCCTGCGCAGACGGTGGGCAGCTCCAACTGCATCACCCTGATGGAGCCTACGGGGCCCACACGGGAGGACCTCTACATCAGCTGCACCATGCCCTCCATTGAGCTGGGCACTGTCGGAGGAGGTACCAACCTGCCCCCCCAGCAGTCCTGTCTACAGGTATGGGCTGCCTGTTTGCCTCCCACCCCCGCATGGCTGTAGGTCAGACCCGAGATGCTTGAGCAAACCCATTCTGTGTTCCCAGATGTTGGGTGTACAGGGAGCCAGCCAGGAGCAGCCCGGGGAGAATGCGCGTCAGCTGGCCCGCCTGCTCTGCGCCACAGTGCTGGCCGGGGAGCTGTCCCTCATGTCCGCGCTGGCCGCCGGCCACCTGGTCAAGAGTCACATGACTCTCAACAGGTAAGCCATTCCATCTGGCTCAGCCACAGGTCTCACAAAAGAACGTGGCATGTGTTGTGAGAAACATGACCAATATTAAATGAATGGAATATGATGCATGTTCTGAAAGTTTTCAATTTTTGAATAAATTACTCTAACATTTTGATCGCTTTGATCACTTACTTAAATAATTCTGATTTTGTGCAGAAGGCATGAATCTGTTCATGATGTAATGATGTTTGTTTAACAGGTCCAAAGTAAACCTGCAAGGAGACCCTGGAACATGTACCAAGAATTCAGCCTAAAGACTTTAGGGATGGAGTATCAGGCACAAATGGCCTTCAGCACTTAGGGACAGAGCCCAGAGCTAAACCCACGCAGATCTGTTCTCAGCATGACTCTCCAAAGTCTGGCAGCCAGCTGGACTCCAGTCCCGAAGATGTCTCTGTGGTTTTAACATTAATACATGACTCAACTGCTTCACTGATCATGCAAAGGTTTTCTAGGCATAGTCCAAAATGTTTTGTAAATATTGTTCGTGACAGTTACTACTGATGGCCACTGCAGTAATGGACTTGACCAAATTAACTTGGTACCTTTAGACAGAATCATGTGGGTTTTTTTCCCCCTTGATACTTGTTCAGCTTATACTAGTACATAAATACGTGATCACTAGCGGAGTTACTGAGGTATGATTAGCCTAACTTTAATATGGTGGAATTTATAGGCAGACGTGGATAGTTGTCCAAAACATTAAAATCCAGACCGGGAAGTTGAATACAGTAATATGGGAAACTCATGCACTGAATGTATTTCACATTCAATGTGCAAGCACAAATTTCAGAAAGGTGCTAAAGTAGGGCAGTAGTTAATTGGTAGGTCGTCATCCCGCTGCTGTTGCACGTCTGTGGCCGTAGGCTGCTCTGAACAATTACACCGGGTCTGCGTCTGCGGACGTGTGTCCACACTCACGTGTGTCTCATCCAGCTTCAAGTTTAGCAGCTACTGCCAAGTCGTTTGCGTGAAGCAGTGACTGTGTATCACTAATGTCATGCGCCATTTTTTGAGATGACATATATGCTGCTGGCCATTTTGTGTATTTATTTTAAAGCACAGCGTGATGGTTTCTGGTTCTGTGCTAAAATCTTACTGGGGGAAGAAAGATTGATGATTCTCTCAGTTGTAAAGTACTAAGATGTCCCTCCTTGAATTTTATTGTTTTGAAAGAAAAGTATTATGTAATTTTAGTAAAAAAAAAAAAAAAGAAAGGAAAAAAAGTCTTAATTTATATGCAAAAACAACACCACTACTTTGAGAATCAAATCTTGAATGAGGCATTGGGAAACCATAGTTTTATATTTCCTATTATGTATTTTTATTAAAACAATGAAAAAGTGCAATAAATGTAATATACATGGTCTGCATTGTGTTTTTTCCCCACATTCTTGTGGACACCTTCATCTACTGAGAGGAAGACTTACTAGATGCAGTATATTTCTCTGTCAGTAACATTAATAATGAGAACCAATACATGAATGTATCATTTGGCAGATATTTTTGATGGGTATGTTCTAGGGATGGCACGGTTCATGAAAAAAAACCGAACCGTTCGGTTCGCTTGTCTCGGTTCGGAGCATGCATGCGTCGCACGGTTCGACGGTTCATGACATGCGCAATGTAGCCTCATGCCCCGTATGTGACGTCAGTGTGTTTCCCTTTCGCGCGAAAGAATAGGCTATATCCGCGTTTCCGTTTCTTTCTCCAGTCCGGTCATTATATTGTAATTCTGCTTTACCGCTCGTCTGTGTTCCTTTTGCTCATTAAACCCCGCATTCCCCCGATCCTAGGTCTCCTCGCCTCTGCTTCCCCGGTCAGCGTTGTAACAGTGAGCCTGCTTCCATGCTGCAATGTGAACATTTGCCATGTTCCTAAAAATTCTGTTTATTGCACAGTGTCTGACCACACAGACCTACAGGCTATTGCCAGATGATCATACTAGACATATCAACTGGACATATTTTGCACTATTACAGATTGATGTCTTGTACATATACAGAAACTGATTTTATCGATTACTCAAGAACATTCAATATAATTAATACCAATTTTTTTTTATATATATATAACGAACCGAATCAGGCTTAATCGAGATAGGTGATCTATCATTTTAACGATCCCCAATTAAATTAACCCCGTGGACCGGACAAATACAAAACGAATGATTAAACATTATATGCGTCTCTTTTTGTATGTTTTCTAAATAAGACCGCGTGCCCATACCCAACTGTAATAGCGATTAAAGCGATCTATTCTCTTAGCATTTATGTTAAGGCAAGACTTTTATTTTATTACTGTTCTGGGATTAATAATGTTTAATAATTTTAATAATGTGCTTTAAGTCAAGTCAAATTCAGTTTATGCATGATTACATGATATAACTTTTTAAATACTGTATCCTAAATTGTGGATAATTAAGCTATATATCATATGCTGAAGTACATTTCTGGAGTGTTAAAGATTAAAAGAAAAAATAACAAGAACCGTACAGAACCGAAAACCGTGACCCTAAAACCGTGATACAAACCGAACCGTGGGTTTTGTGAACCGTGCCACCCCTAGTACGGTCTATTGCAGGGCTATTCAAATCACGGTCCTCAAGGGCCGAGCTTTCCTTTACCTGAGGGTCAGTTGTGAAGCCTCTGGCCAATTAGAGCCAGAAATTATTGAGCTAACTACCTGGGAGACTTGAAAACAAGGCCTGGATTTGGAATTGAGGGCCAGATTTGAATAGGGGGGTGGTCTACTGCATAGCAGCTGTTCATACTGAGAGTCTTACTGGATGCATCTCTGCAAACTGCTCCAGATCAATGAATTTGTTGGAGTCTCCCCATAACTTTGCTCTTGTTTCCAGATTGTAGATTACAGCCCTTATCCTGCTCAAAAGCAACAAATAAGCCACACATAATGGAAAATGTAATTGTTCAATTTCATGATTTACAAAATGATTAGGTGTTTAAAACCCACAAAAAATAATGACTGTTATCCATATTCATTATGACTTTAATAAACTGACTACTGGGACAGTGGAAAAACCCACAAAAATCTATGATCCAAAGAAAAAACTTAATGGAATCTTTGCTCCCCACCTATATAGAGGCACGTGGCCTAAATGTCCGTGTCACATAAAATTTGTGCATCTTCTAAAGCCTAGCTGGGCTTCATAATGACATGTTTAGGTGGGGTGTTTTTTCTGGTTAGTGTGATACCACATCTCTATGAAAGGTGTGGAAATGATCTTAGCCTCCATCTAATCTATCTTTCTCTACCATATTAAACCACACTTCAAAAACAAGCTGGCTTCCACAGCTCCAAAAATTTTAGATTTCAACTTGTACTTAGTATTTGAGGTGGAAAATCTCCTGGAATGTTTAAACTGGAATACAAGCAAAACAAAAGTACATTCTTTTCAATCCAAGAACCTAAATGACACTGAAGATGTCATCTTTATTTCTGCCCCTCCTTCACTCCTTACAGGTGCCGCCCCAGTGTTAGGTACGATTGGAAGGAGAATACTGTGCTCCCAATCAAGAGGCCCTCCCAACATGACATCACCATGGGCTGCCGTCGGCAGAGAGTGGGTCAGCCAATCAGGCTCCACTGCATCACATCTCACCAGCACAAAAGCCATAGTGGTGCAATAGACTCATTCATGTACAGGAAGGAGCTTAACCCTTAGAGATGCAGCTCCTGGAAGAGAAATGCTGGGCATCATCCATTAAACCCAGGTAACATTCAAACAGATGGGCCGTAACTGGATGTGGCTTCCCCATGTAACTTTTGGTCTTAAAAAGCTTTTTTAAACCTGCTATACTACAGCTCTCTAAGAGTTTTATTATAAAACTCAGAACTGATTCAGATTACTCTTCAACACTCACATATAAATATGCTTCAAGACCACAAAAAGACCAACATACACACTGAATGAAACTTTAATTCTAAAACTTTAACACTTCTATGTTCTGTATCAAATGGAGCAATATCTATCACAAATGATGCTTACCTAATCCATTCTTTACAGTGCACTGTATGCACGGTATATTATGTTAATGGTCATAAAGATCAGAGAAAATGTACATTCATGCTCATGAAAATGTTGTGGTATGTAATAACATTTTAAGCACAACACAAAGTGTCCATAATTTTTTATTATTCTTAAAACTTTAAATATTCAATAAGAGAACATGAATAACCAGCTAATATGATGAAATATTTTCCCCATAGGATTTTTTAGGAAATTTAATATACATCTCAATATGAATATATTTCTGAAACAAAGTCTTGGTACTGAACAGCATCAATAATTTAATAAGACATCTATTTAGCATCTAGCATCCAAGCTTCCCAAAAACATCTCTGACAGATGTGTGATTCAGAGGCCAAGACATCTTAGAGGTCGATGCATAAACATCTGCAAAATTTCAGGTTTCACAGCATCCGTCATTGACACCAGCACCACCGACATAATGACCTGAAGTTGGGAAAAACTTCACTGTGCAAACCATGAACAAGAGACGGATGCGTGGCTCCCTTAAACCCCATAAATGCCCTCACTACTGAGAAATGGAGATCATCAAGCCTGAACTCATTAATCAGAATTTAAATAGAATCTCTGGCTTGTTCAATACACATTTCCCCAAGTGAGGGAGATCAAAGGTGTTGAAATCCTATCACTGACTGTCCTCTATGAAGACACACTTTGGCTGATACTCACGTCACAACTGTGGGGCAAGGAAACTTGAAATGAAATGTTAACTCACACCCCCGTGTGTGTGTGTGTGTATTTTTTTTTTATATATATATATATATATATATATATATATATATATATATATATATATATATATATATATATATATATATATATATATATATATATATAAAAAAATCAAGACAGAATGTGCTTTTCACTGAAGGAATTACAAACAATAAAAAAACACATCTTCTTTGAAGTACCCAGAAGCAGATCACATGCCCTTATAATTTAGTATTAAGACAGAGGCACTTTCTGAATTGGATGGCCACAGTATTCTTTTCCCTAAGGCATGTGCATCAGATCTAAAGGGACACAAACGAAAGCATAACTTCTTATGGCCAACGTCTGATGAAGCCACACCCACAACACCCAAAAGATTAAACACTGGTGAAGGAAACAAGGTCAGTAAATGGATGCATACTTTAATCCAGTGGTCAGAAGACCGCCCCAGTTCCTCACAGCACACTTAAAATCCTAAGCAACTCACAGTTCTATGACCAGCTGTGTTGCTTAATCAGATCGGTTGTTTCCCCTCAATACGTGTAAAGCTACATTCAAGTTTGTTGATTTGTCAAGTTTTCAGATTCACTATCACCAATGTTTAAGTTCTTTAACCCATCTTCTATTTTTGAAATAAATTTCTATCACGCACACAAACATGCACGCACACACGCACACTAAAACGGCAGAAATATGAACAGCTGAGCTACAAAAAAAAAAAGACATGATTGTTCTCGTTCCCCCATCAGACTGAGAAAAATCGCCTTCACCGGGGGAAAGGAACACCGGGTGTCACTAACAGTCCTCAAGTTCGTCACAGTTGTAAAACTTCAAGGGAAAAAGGAGGAGAGAAAGCAAAAGCAATCCACTTTTTGATGTTTTTTTGTTTTTAGAAAAATTAGCAGCATTAAACAGATTTACAAGAGCATGGCTTATTCACAGAGAATTTAAAGGACGAGGGGAAAAAAAAAAATCACCAAAAGAACATATTTACAGAGACAAAGGTGACATGGTGCAGCTGCACAGTGACATGTGGCTGACAGGAGGCTTTGGTGTTGCCACGGTTTTGCAGAGCCGAAACAGGAAGTGGCAGAAGCCGCAAGGAGGTTGGAGTCACACCCACTGCAGCTTTGGCTCTGAGTGTAGGGGGTGAGGTGGGCTGGGAGGCCTAGTGCCCTCTGCTGCTGGAGGTCCGGCAGCTCGGGAATGTGCAGTCAGTCTGTCGCTCCACGGCAGAGTCGGGGGGGGGGGGGGGCTTCTTCGTGGGCCTGTTCACACAAAGTCAAGCAGGTTAGCACAAGTCTATCTCAACACCAGGCTGGTCAAATTTTCTCCTACCCCCAGACTGTCCTACCTGGAGGGACTGCACATTTGCAAACATTCCCCTATGTAATACATCTCAATCTGAAACACACACCCAAAATTCTGTGCTGTATCACCCTGTCTATGGTACCAAAATCTGATAAGGCAAAAAAAAAATAAATAAAAAAATGACAACACAAGCTAAAGTTAACCCAGGCCCGGCTCCACTTCAACAACACTTCACATAGCGCAAGATCGCTTGTTAAAATCTCACCATTACATAAACAAAAACATTATCTTTAACGTTATCTTTAAAAACCACTGAACTCCTTGTTTATGGCTCATGTCTCTAAATACAAAAATGAAAGCTTTCCTCTCATGCACACTTCAACAAGCCTGAACCGAGAAGTTTAAAAGTGACCTGTGTGTGGCTCCTAAATAGACCTTGGATTTCAGGTGAAGTACCTGGAAGGCTTAGAAAAGGATGGGCTTGCAGGCAGTCTTCTCCTGGACGTAGGAGGTGAAACGCTTGAGGAACTTGGGGTACTCCCTCTTGGCCACTGCTCTCAGTACAGATGCTGGTGCCCAGCCTCCTGGGTTCACTGGAGACAAGACCAGGGCTTTTGGTGAGCACTGCATACAGCACTGCAGGGACTATGAGCACTAATGCGGCAGGTCTTCCGGAAAGCTCACCGTTAGCCACATAGGTGATTTTACATGTGATGTTCTCTCTGCTGATGTCTTTGTCTCCCTCTGGTGGGCTGACCAGAGTCTGACAGATCATTGCTATGTTGATTTTGGCACGAACACACCTGCTGTTGGGCTGGAAGATGGTGGGGAGGGGCAATAATGCAAGGGCTCAGCGATAAGAAGCCATTCAGATAACAGGAGTTCAAAAGGCAAAAAGCGTTGTGATAAACGCTGGATTCCTATCAGAAAGGCAGTAGCGGCCGACCATGAGGTGCCGCTCACCGGGGCGTTCTTGTGATCCACTGAGAAGTTGCAGACCAGCCATGTTTCCGGGTCGCTCTCGTTGCTGGCCATAATTTTGCGGATGGCTGACAGGTAGAGAACATCCCTCTGGGATGCAGGCCACACCCTCTGCGAGGCAAACGCCACCCGTCAAACAGGCCAAACTCCAACAACATCGAGGGTATAATAACAGTAATTTACATCATAAATATTGGAATCTGTGCAAATAAATGCAGACACCATGTAACTAAATTACAATCATTGTCTATTCCACTCTTAACATTGAAAGCTAGCTATACTCATGGAACAAAACCAATATCAATTTAATCACCCTGCTGTACTACTCTTTGAATAGTGTCTTAACCCAGTATTTCACCAGCACACAGAACAAACATGTTGAGACAGGCAGATACCGTACCTTGTGTGTCTGATAGACAATGACGGCGCTGTCAGAAAGTGTCTCCACCACGTTAAAATTTTCAATGGTAGCTGAAAGACATGGACATGAGTGAGAGAAGTGAGAGAAGTGGGTATGTCTTCCTAAAGTGCACTCCGAACCGGGACACAAGAGGGCCGCCGCAAATGGACTTACTTTCCCAGTCATACCGCACATTGGTGTCCCAGAAGTAGTGGCACACCTCGTGACCCGTCACCCCTTTAACCGAGTGGGTAGCTTTCAGCGGGTCGAGAACAATGCCGTTCTCCTCCACCTCTCTCCGGTACACCTGAAATGGGCCAAAACCATAGGGACTGAGCTTCATGTGGGTAAAAAAAAAGCATAATTAAAGATGCATGCAGCTTTCTTTTCAGACCGATACCTTCACAGCATGTCTTGAGCGCCATCATGTGTCAGACAAAGTAATTACAAGTATCAATATAATCATCAAAGGAGAACTTATGCTGCATTCCATTTGCCTCGGGATCCGATTTTCGGATTCCGATATTACGTCACATCCGCTAAAAACTCGGGAAAACCGAATCGGATATGTTCCATTTGCCACAGAAGTAGCAATACCATGGACTCATATGGAAAAAGCAAGATTTTTTGCTTAGCCGGACAACTTGTCGGATTTAAGGTACCTCAGTTTAAATGGCCTTTATCTTCGTTCACTTACAATTAGCCCGAACTACCTTAAATCCGACAAATAATCCGACTAATCATGAAATCCAATTCTAGACCGGTTAATTGGTAGCCATTGTTAGCAATATCGCTTGATAACACATTACGCGCGGTGCTTCACGTATAAAACTCCGTAGCAACACGTCCACAGATAAGTTGGACGGTATAGTGTGTGCGACCGATTTAATGAGCCACAAATGAGAAGTAGTGCTTAAACAGTATAAGACTACAACTTTCCCTTCTGTTGATAAAGGGCACAGCCATCTTCGATTCTGAACTCGGGATCCTCTGCGTTATCCGAGATATTTCTCGGATCTCCGAGAAACGGGAGCGCGCATGTCATCACTTCCGGCTTCGAAACTCGGAATCTGACTCGGAATCTGAGTTCCGAGGGCAAATGGAATGCACGAATAGCTCCGATATCCATGATAAAGATGCAAATTCAGGAAGTGTTAGCCTTATCTAAAGAACGTGTTAGCAGTAAAGATGGAAAAACGCAGTGGCCAGGGTCTCTCACCTTCATCTCGCCCTCTTCAACTACCAGCTGCCAGTTGGCATCCCCACCCACATCCTGTAGGGAGTAGGTCACATGGTTCTGCACCATCTCCTCCACCTACGACATACAAAAAAGGTCAACACCTACATATATGCTTAACCTTCTGCTAGGTTTGCAGAAAAGTCCACCCGTTCCTAACCCTAATGTGGCCGGAAAAATAAAACCAAACAAAAAGTCGAAAACATCCTCCATAATACAAAAGACATACATTACGCAGTCCCATACTCTCTGCTTGTCCATTGGAAGCTAAAACCCAGCAGAGAGACATTTGCTTTGTGTACTTGCAAAATTTGACCTTAACATACACCTCAGGAATTACATTAGCTAATCATTTACCCTCATGTAATTTTTACAAATGAAGAACAGGAGAAGCAAATATCTCGTAAGCAATGGTGCAGGCTTCCTTTCTGAAACACGGAAAATATTCAGAAATGAGCGTGGGCTACAAGCATTGGCTGCACTCAAAAATCAGCAACGAGACCCACCACGCTTAAGTAGGGTCACAAGTGACAGTCTTTGCCAAGACCACAAGTAACTTCACACATTGAAGTGCAAAGTCCACCGGATACCAGCAAATGCTTTGGTCTTGAGATGACCCACTTAAAACATGATTGTCTACAGAAAGCCAGCGAGTTCACTGACATCTCACCTGCTCTGCGAACCTGTGGGTGCCAATGGTGGAGTATATGTCTGCAGGCAGCACTGGACTGGACCTATGTATCCTGGCTTTGTCAGACTGGGACTGCAGAGACAAGTGACTTGTTAGCGGTGTTACATGGATAAGCAGGAGCCAACCATGTATAGCAGAAAATGCAAGCATGATGCTGAAGAACACAAACAAAACAACGAACCTTAAGGCTTCATCGAGGTCCAGCCCAATTACAGTTAATCTAAGCATCACATGACTGATCTGACAATGAGCTTAATTTTAGAGTCCTCCCAGCCCCCCAGCAAACCAGAGATTTCATGCAGACACATGGTTTCTATTTGCTAGTCACCTGTTCTTCAATCTTGTCCTGTCTGTCAAGGGTAGCTTCCACCGCATCAAAAAACTCCTCTTCGTTGATGAGGCAGTTTGGACCCTCCTGTAAGAAACAAGAAAGTTTGCAAGAAAAGAGATGCTAAATGAGTTGGACCCCAGGCGCTTGAAGACACTGAAATTAGACATCTGGTAAATTGGTAGTCTGGTAAATTAGAGCGCGATAAATCTCCATACCTCGTAGTCAGGACCCCCAAAGTGAGATTTCTTCTTCAGCTCTGACAGGGTGACCTTGTAGGCTTCCTCAACCCTTTTCCTCTTCTCCATTTCCTTCAGGAGCAAGGGAGACAGATTCTGCAGGGTTACTGACGCTCCAGCTATCCATGCAGATCAGGATCCAGGAAACAGGGACAGGACATGAACCTCGGGCTTTAATGTGGCCTCAGAGTTCATGAAGGTTTACATTACAAGTCAGTAACTATTCTGCTTCAGAAATATGTTTACTATGGAAAAAAATGGAAACCCCAAGGAACAGCTACTTCAGCTACAAAATGCATCATGTGTACATGAAACAGGGGGCTGCCTCAGACCCCTGCCGCACCCTGGCCCTCCCTATAAAGGGGGTGAACCAGGCAATGAGACACAATGAACAGATGGGGACTAACTGGGTCGGCTCATGCAGCTTAATGGCGACATGCTGGAAACGCAGATAAGCAGCATCACGCGCTGGGGACAGAACCCTTTGCCTTCCTAATTAAGGCAAAGTATCACACTCTCAAACCGGGGAAGGAAGAGATGCGAGGTGAATCCACCCTGGAGCGGCTGCTGGAATGCAGCTGGGTGCGGTCGAAACCTGCGGGAGAGCCTGCCGGGGCAGGAGTGTCTCAGGCAGCCCCAAACTTCTGGAATAGAAAGACAGCCAACCAGCTGGCGGCCCAGGCGTCCCACCAGCCCAACGCACAGAGCCGGAAAACAGGCTGCTTCAGTGGCTGCACCATGAAGGATGGCTGCAGTTTAATGCAGATCTCCTCTCCTCCGGGTGGAGGGTTGGGAACGGAAAAACGAGCGTAGCAACAAGATGCAGCTGCAGCACTAGTACAACAGTCTGCCAGGAAAGAGAACAGAAGAAATACTTCTTAAGTCTAAGAGACACCTGAGGATATCCAGCGGGGAGCTAACATCTACTAATGCCTCATTCAGATCCACATGGGGATATCCAACAGGGAGCCACCATCTCCCAACGTCTCAGTCAGGTCCACCCAGGGAGATCTAGCAGGGATCCACCATCTCCCAACACCTCAGTCAGATCCACCCAGAGACAACCAGCAGGGATCTGCTGTCTACCAATGCCTCAGCTCCACAGGAGGGGATCCTTGGCATGTTTGAATCAGGCTACCCATGTTAAGCAACTTTCAGAAAATACTGCCAGTGACTGGAGGTGGACCGGGGCAGACGCAGGCGTGCCGTACCGTACCTTGTCCAGCCTCTTCTGCCAGTTGTCCTCCCTCTTCACCATGAGCTCGATGCAGTGCGACAGGGTGGCCAAGATGCCGGCAGTGGTGGCTTTGAATGTAATCGCTTCTCCTTTGAAATCAATCCCATTTATCCCCTTGGAACTCAGAACTGGAAACACTGGAAAAGGAGCAAAGAGAATACATCTCCTCCATCAGAAGGCACATCCCACAGCCAGTGGCTACAGCAGCCCTTCCATGTACTGCTCCTCTGCGTTACTCAACATTTATTACAAACGCAAATTTAACGCGGCCCAGCCCAATTTATGGGTTTGTTACAGCCCAAGCTGTTATAAATTACAGAAAATCATACTTACAGCTCTATTTAAAGTGACAAAGATAATAAAAAAATAAATAACAACTAATTTAAAGACCCCCAGCCCCTACTCACGCTTTTCCTTGGCGCCGTTATGGCCATGCAGGAACTCGCCGTCTACGCGCATCGAGGGGAAGTCGTCCTCATCGTCCTCCACGACTGGAAAGGATGGCAGCAGTTAGTGCTCCGTCTCCCAGGTCGAGAGGGGGGGACTGGGCTGAGCGCTCTGTATGCGTGTGGGCGGGGCCAGCCACACGAGAATGGCCGTCATCATCCGCCGGGTGGCATTGTCACTGAGGACAAAAGCCCGGCTTCTTCTTCAGGGGCGGGAAGAAAGCAAGTGTGGGGGGCAAGTGCAATGAAACAACAGGGACGATTCTGTGTGCTGATGAAGGAGCTGTCTGTTGTGATGGTGGGGTGGGGGGGCGGCTCAATGTAACCTCCAGGCAAAAGGTTTTGTTCACCACAGGTTTTTGCTACTTCTCCATTTATTTCATTAACTGTAGATTTTTTATTATTGTTAAGAATTGGAAGGTTGAATGAACAACTATAAATGATATGTCAAACAAAACAAGTGTCCTTAGGATGTAACAGTGCATGTCTGACATCCTATTAACTCATGTGGTGATGGCAGAGTCAAATTCTAGGCTGTCCTTTAACTTTAAATGCACTAGTCAACGGTTTCATCCAATTCAAACAACAATAATTAATGTCCCTTGTAGAAAGAATGCATCAAAATTTGTCTGATGTTATAACTGCTAGAGGAGGTTACTTTGTCGAATCAAAGATATGACATTCTCTTGCTAATAAAAGGTACTCAAATGGTGAACATACTCTGAAAGTATTTGTTAGTAAACAATATCGAGTACATTTTTAGTAAATGTTAAGTGAGTAACAACATGCAAATGTAGAAAATCTCAGTGTCTACAAAAACTTTTGACTAGTAGTGTGCAGTGGCAGCACCAGGAAGCACCAGGAAGCACCAGCAAGCACCAGGAAGCACCAAAGCTGAGGTATTCCTTTGGTATTCATTGTTGACTGATCATGCTAATAACCTACCTCTGAAATGCAAAACGTATAGTAGTTAATGCATAACATGCAATGTCAATATTAATTACACGTCGCCCAGTCGTATAAAATTCTATAATAGCCATTTTTTTATTTAGCACAAGACACATCGCTTTGCGTTATGATGTCATTCTGCACTGGTACCAGATTTTCACACCAGTAGAAATTAGCTCAAGAACAGTGCATAGAGAACTTCATGGAATGGGTTTCCATGGCCAAGCAGCTGCATCCAAGCCTTACATCACCAAGTGCAGTGCAAAGCGTCAGATGCAGTGATGTAAAGCACGTTGCCACTGGACTCTAGAGCAGTGGAGACGTGTTCTCTAGAGTGACGAATCACGCTTCTCTGTCTGACAATCCGATGGATGGGTCTGGGTTTGGCAGTTGCTAGGGGAACGGTACTTGCCTGACTGCATTGTGCCAAGTGTAAAGTTTGGTGAGGGGGGATTATGGTGTGGGGTTGTTTTTCAGGGGTTGGGCTTGGCCCCTTAGATCCAGTGAAAGGAACTCTTAGTGCTGCAGCATTCAAAGCCATTTTGGACAATTTCATGCTCCGAACTTTGTGGGGACAGCTTGGGGATGGCCCCTTCCTGTTCCAACATGACCATAAGGACATGGATGAGTGAGTCTGGTGTGGAGTAACTTGACTGGCCTACACAGAGCCCTGACCTCAACCCGACAGAACACCTCTGGGATGAATTAGAGCTCATAGTGCGAGTCAGGTCTTCCCATCCCACATCGGTACCTGACCTCACAAATGCTCTCCAGGAAGAGTGGTCAACAATTCCCATAAACACAAACCGGATGGACAGCCATACCAGAAGAGTTGAAGCTGTTACAGCTGCAAAGGGTGGGCCAACTCCATATTAAAGGCTATATTAAGAATGGGATGTCATTAAAGTTCACGTGTGGTTAAAGACAAGTGTCCTAATACTTCTGCAATATAGTGTATGTGGGGAATCACCCAAAAACCCATGCGCAATTCATCTTTAATCATCCCATACAGCATAGCAGGCTGGCCCCATTACTTCACATTAAAAGTCACCAGCAGGGCTTTACATATAAGTGTGGACTTCTATTTTGACAGCACTACAGGGTCACAGGAAGTGCTCACCTTTATCCCTCTGCAGCTCGTCTTTGGAGACCGCGTCTGCACAGCCATCAAAGTACTTCTGCAGGGTGTCCACCTGTCTGCACAGGATGTCCCGGAAGGTCTCCATCTCCGCTAACTTCTCACGCAGGCTATGACCTTTCTATCAGGATGCAAAATGGAATACCCTGTGCTCATTGGCCAGGCAGACTGATTAAAATTTAAAAAATTCTTTTTAAATTTAACTTTTTTAAAAAAAAATTTTTATTTGCTGTCAGGATGGAAATCCATAGCTATTTTAATGAAGTCAAGAACACAGTTATCAATAAACAGTCATTCAAACAGCAGACTAAGGTCAACCTTAGTTTGGCTTAGGGGGCATGGCATGGAGCAGCATCATGGGTAGCCTCCAGAGAGAGCGCCACACGGTGGCTGGGCAGGGGACATGCTCCTCACCTTAAAGGAAGAAGCGGAGGTGGCCGAGTAGCTGCTGGCCGCTGACGTCAGGGACAGCATGGAGCCGTGGCGACGGAGGCTGGACTCCGAGCCGTAGCCAGACTCTGCCTATAACAGGAAAGGGAAACACATGAAGGAGAAAGCAGACTTGGGAGGAAAGTGCAGCCAGCAGAGTGCAGCGTAGACAGTGATGTGGGGAGCGGTCTAAGCAGAGTGCAGAGTTACACCACAACAGGGACCTAATACTGCCAGCAAGGCCTAACCGTGCGTTCACACCGGGAGTGGTGAGAGCGCCAAAGCCACTGGAAGTCATTCATTCTCTGTTGAAGGGAGCGTCACCAAGAGGCAAAGAGTGGCACGGCACAAATAAGGCGGCGAGAGCGTCAAAATGAAGATGAAGCCTGGGCAAGTTTATGCTAATGAGCTATGATGCAGTTCAGTGGCAACCAATCGGAATGTAGAGATGCTCCACTAAAGAGATCCACAGAACACAAGTGTGTAAACTTTTGTTTCGACCAAACAGTTCCCAAGCACAGTTAGGGCATAAACAGTGAGACAGAATTAGTCTCCACACGGCATTTTATCCTGTACACATGGGAAAAAATACTCATGTTTAGGCGCCATAAAACTATGCATTAGAAAAAAACCCATTTAGACATGCATTTTTATGCCATGTCAACATGGTAAAATGTACACAGTAAAAAGGTCTTTCAGTACTGAGGTATACCGAAGCTAATGCTTTTCTATTCAAGGGCAAAGGTTTCAGTCTGTAGTGCATTTTATTGGTTGCCGTATTATAACATTTGGGCTTTTTAATCATAGCCCCTGAAAATAAAATTGTGAAAATTTCAATAAAGAGGTTCATTGTTTTGTCTGATACACTTAATTAATATGTCTGACGTGGAGCAAGGTAAATAAAAGGAGCAAAATAGTCAGGGACAGAGTTCAAGTCCCAGACAGCCCAATATAAAACTATATAAACAACAGTTATAATAAGCTTCCATTTTCATATCCATTATCTAATCTATTGAACGCACATTCATATACACACACACACACACACACACACACACACACACACACATATATACACACACACACATATATATATATAAATATGAGGCATAGACCAAGATCTTTCAAATTATTTATGATCCAGATGAGTTGATGTGCATAATATTTTTTTATGGAAAAAAAAGAAAAGAAAAAAAAAAGGAAATCGCATACTATTTTGTCACCATGGAATGTAAAATAATGCGAATCGTCAGTAACTTTAACATTACTTATTTATAGCGGTTGTGTTTGTCTTAACATAATTACATGTGCTTTGACAAATTATATCCTATCGGCAGTCAGTAAAAAGATAAGCTACAAATTTAAGTTTGCGAGACCTGGCATTGTGAACAACCTTGTCCCCGCCTACTCCATTACACCAGAGAGCGTCCCCAGCATTCGCTAACATCACGGACAGGGCGGCCGGAGTGAACGCCAACGCTCTCGCCACCCACAGTGTAAACATAAGGTAAGTTACTGGACAGAGGGTGGACAGAATCAGCGGTCAGTCAGTGCTGGGAGGAATCGAAACTTAGATGGCAAAAGAATGAACTGAAACAGAATTTGAATAAATATCCCATCGAGTAAATATAAGACTTAATTACGCCCAATGCGTTCGGCAAGGCACTAATGGCAGTAAACAGATTAGAAATGTTAGAAAACATGTTGGTCTGAGCTGTACACGTGAAGCCATGAACAATGAGAAGGTTGAAGTGCATCAGACAGGAGACAGAAGTTCATTCCAAACTGCGGCGGTGTCGCTGCTTGCGGCATTACCATTTTCCACACCCCACACCAAAAGAACACATTGTTTTATGATAAAATAAGACAAAATTTATCTAAACAAACATCACCATTGGCCCACAGCCCAGCCACCGGGTCTTATCGTAACAGCCTGTGACTGTGTGGATCATACCATCAACTAGGAAGAGGCAGGGGTGACTGTAGAGCTGCTCGATTATGGCAAAAATCATAATCACGTTTTTTTGTGACCAATATGGAGTTGACGATTATTTCACAGCGCCAAAAAATTAGTGCACCGATCTGGATTTATTGCGCAAGACAAAGTAGGGCATCATTTCAATATGAGATACAAACAAATATGGTTTTTCCTCAAATATAATTTTTTTCATAATCATGGGAAGCCATAATTGTAATCGTGATTCAAATTTGATTTATTGCACAGCTCTAGGTGATGGTAGAGATTTTGGGCCCCATGAAAGCATATTATATTGGGTCCTCAACCAGACCAATCCAAATATGTGCCAGATCCCCCTGCCCCCTTATAGCATGCCTGGTAGAGGGACCAACATGAAGCAGAATGACACAAACCACAGGCACACTGGAGTTCGGGGGGTGGGGGGTTCTGACAGTCAGCTGAGTGAACAGCATTGACATCGATTTATTGCGGCTAATTTTACATTTGCAGCCGAGTTTTGGTGCCTTGGGGTGAATCATAATCACATAAGCAACAGTTTAAAAAAACTTCATAAGCAGCAATTACAAAAACACTTTAAGATTGGGTCCGAATGCTCAGGCACATGTCCTGCTGGTGTGTACGTTTGGTTGACCTTCACCCAGCAGAACGCCGATGATGCATCTCTCTGAGTAACGGGGTGAGTGTGGGGGTGGGACGGGCAGCCTGACGGGAAGAGGTGACCCAAAGTCCAGAGGCTCCTTCTCTGCCCGTAATGGCTCAGAGTGCAACACGCACCCCCACGGGGGGCAAAGAGCCATTTCGGAGAACATCGATCTCCGACCTGAGATTCCTGCCAACCTAATTTCAATACTGTGGTCAGTTTCTAAATGTGGCCGACAAGCAAAACAAAAACAAATGAGCCTGCAGGAGCTTCCTGGAAATACTTTCTCTTCTGTGCCGAGCATCCTGAGTTTATTAGCGCAGCGCTAACAGGGTACAGGCTGCTGACAGCACAAGGCATCAGCTCACTCCGCTGCAGGAAGCTCACAAGAACAACCTGGGCATAAGAAGCTCACCAGAAGGTATCCCTCAGTTAACGAGAACCAATTAGCCGCCTGAAATGTGAACTGATAATACATGTACATTGAGCCATGACAAGGACTCCTAAACAAAAGCAATGGAACTATCAAAATAAACAAATACTAATAAATAAAAATGGTCTGAATTTCTTTTGAAAAGATGTACTTATTCAAGGGGTTGGAGAAAAGCCCCTTTAAAAACCTTTAATTCATCAAAAAAAAAAAGAAAAAAAAAAGAAAAACTATGAAGGAATTAAACCTACAATTTGGCTTACTAAAAACTACCTAAACTGAGCACATTGTGTGTGAAATTTAGATAAGGCTTACACCTTCCATTGCCATTCCCATTTTCATTCAGCGCTTCATTCAAAGCCAAAACAGATCCGCGCTGCTGTAAAAGGAAACTAATGCAATATAAATGATTTATGGGTGCAATTCACAGCACAAGAGACCAGACACCTCAGAACTGCGGTTGTTAGGTTGACCACAGATGCTTAGGTTGTTAGGTTTACCTTTCCACCACTAGGCAGCAGTGCTGAGATGGGAATCCTCCATCATCATGACTCAGGGAGGTTACAGCCGGTCAAAGACCAGGAGTAACCTTCCCAGGAAACTCATCCTAACACCCTTCAGGTCCCATTGTTTTTTTTTTATACAGCACAGTATAGAACCCAAGGAGTTTCTCCTGAATAGCCAACATCAGGGTTAAATTAAAAAAAAAAAAAAAGTTAAATGGAGCTTTGGTAACATTTGAATTTCAAAGCTAACAGCGTGTGTGTCACAGACTTCCATAGCAAGCAGTTGGTAAGGGCCTAGAAGCAGACAGGCAGGACAGGTGGTGGGTGTGGCCTAAAGGTACCAGAGAGCACCGCCCACAGATGAGTATTTCCTCATTAGCATGGTAAAGGCAGCATGAGTCATGACCCGTCAGTAGGAGGATACGGCAAGCCTGGTGAGTCATCGCTTCCTGAAGCTTTACTCACCTCTGCGTTTGTGGTGGGGGATTGGGGATTTCCCAGCTCCCAGACCAAGGGGAAAAGCTGCAGGGTGGGGCGCAGCCTTCACCCCAGCATAATCTCCGGCATCCCCCCCCCCCCAGCACCCCAGCCTATGTTTCAAACGCAAACACGAGCTGCCATGACAACAATGACTAAACAGAACTGCAGAGCTGAGGAGGCTGAAGCCTTTCTTACGCAGCGGCATGGATAGGAGGGGCTGCAGCTGAGTATCCCCCACATGGCCAGTTCCTGCACACTGATCTCAAGCTTCGCTTTTGCGTGGATGTGTCAAAGGAGAGCATGATGGGATATGCCAAATGAAACATTCCAATGTACCTGTACTTGTGCAAATGACAAATACAAAATCACTACAACAAAGCAGCCCACAGAGTATTCGAAGAACGCTCATGAATGAAGAGATTCGGTGCCAAATTCCGATACCCAAACTGTAAATCCCAGCGTCTGTAAGCTAATAAGCATGCAGCATACTTGTTTCAAGATCTAAAATCACTGATGATTGGCTATTAACGTAATTAAGGTAACGTTTAGGGTTGGCCGATCCACATTTTTCAGTTCCGATTCTGATATACACTGCCGATACAGATACAGATTTCGATGCAACAGGTTTTTACTTTAATATTTTAATATAGAAAATACTTATATTTATACTTTATATATAAAAAATTTTGAACTAGTAAAAACAGATGAAAAAATGTATGCCAAAAAATCATTAATTAGGCTACCAGAAACATACATAACATACTGTTCCATCTTGTTTGTACATCTTGTTTTAAGTATTTTTGAGGCATTTGCAGTTCAATTTGAATATCTTCCAAGCGAGAATACGCAAGTGGTGAATGCTTAAAATGCCCCACAATTTCTCTCTCACTGGCAACATCGTTACTTACACTTCGTTACGACTGGGATTTTTCACAAAACGCTACTTCCTCCTCTCAAAACTTTGTTTTTATAAATACTGAAAATTGCTGTACTACTAGTTGTTGTTAAAGCATAAAATGCTTCCAGATCGTCACCCTCTGATGTTTTTACGCTTCTCCTACTGCAAAGGGTATGCAGGTAACATCACAGTAGATTGTAGTCACTGCGCTCAACCTACTGAGTGCTAGAAAAACAAAGTGGCAGTTTTAAATGGCTCAGTTTAAAAGCCACAAAAACCCACATCAACAAAAACGGAAAAGAGCTGTCGTGCAATTGATTGTACAAATAGGTTTAACACGAAATAGGAGCTATCTTTTTAGAGACTCCCAAAAACTAAATAAGTAACGGACGTGGATAGGTCACATATATGGCCGATACACAATCCGTCAAATACGTCTGGATCGGCACAGATACCGATCCGAATATTGGATCGGTGCAGCTCTAGTAACGTTACACAAATATGGAGGCCGGAAGGAATAAATGCTTAAGGAATCAAAACTGCGTCTCCACAGGGTTCCAGACTGCGACCATTTAGTCGCATTTTGCGACCATTTTTGGAGATAGTTATAAAATGTAGTCGCACTAAGCGCGCCAGTGTGACTTGCAAATATGCCCCTCATTTATTCCCAAATATGCCCCTATCCCCATATAGTGATTGACCACATCGTCGTATATCACTTGAAACACCCGGAGTGAGCAAGAAATAGTGCGTATGTGTATGCATGTGTGTGTGTGTGTGTGTGTGTGTGTGAGAGAGTAAGACTCGGTCCGACTGCAGGTCCTCGGAGGCACTACTGAGGAGCGCCGAAACTTGCCGATTGCTTGACCACAAGCACCGGCGCTAACATGGATAATAACAAGTTATGCGGAAGTGCAGAAAAAGAGAGCAGGTGGAGTTATTTTTGTACCTCAATAATAAGAATGAATACCTTTTTGCTTGCGTCTCCATAACGTGCCATCGCTTATTAGCAGGATAACGCTAAATCGTTTTTTTATCCTGTGAAAAATGAAAGATCGATTTACCAGCCATTTTTATCTATAAATTATAAACACATCGCAGATCGTACAAGTAAAATATAAATAAAAGGCTGTATCCTGTTATGATCGGGATGGATCCTCTCAGTAACTAACCAATAACTAACACAACAACTTGTTCAAATAAAAGATCTGTGTTGTAATGTTTAATGTATTTTTGTTGTGGTTGAAACCGATTTTAAAACATATTGGTATCGAAAAATTATTATTCTGGAACCGGTATAGAAATCAAGGTATTGTTCTGGTACTGGTATTGAAAAATACTTAACAATGCCCAGCCCTGCTAATGTATCCGAACAGTGGCTGGATGCAGCAAGAAGTGAATCAAGGTGTGTCACTGAAATGAGGGAGGGGTCACAGCATTCCAGGGCACAGGAGAACACAGCGGGGGGTGCAGGGAAGGTGACAGCCCTCAAAGAAAGAGGCTTACATAGGTAACCTGGCACCCAGTTCCTAGTTGTGACTATAATGTCAAAACCTTGCCTGACACCCACAGTCCTTAAAGGGGGAATATAATAATGGCTGAACATGGGCTGAACTCTGAAAGTTTCCACGTCACAGCAACGTGCTAAGCAAGTGCTCCTCACAGTACATAGCCAGGATGCAAGAGAGCAGGTGATAGGGCCCATTTATACCAAATCACATCCCAAAAGGGGATATTACATTTTAAATGTGTTGTATGTACATTTCTCAGTTAATACATACATAAGAGGCTGCAAACAGCCTGGTGCTAACCAGAAGGGCATGGCTAAAACACCCCAGAAGGTCATGACCTCAAACATTCCACTGAGGAAACATCTCACCAAGCTGTTGAAGCAGGGACCACCTCATCACGTGGAGCAGAGGCGCACGCCGGCCCGCTGGGCTAAACTCAGAAAGCTGGGAAGCCACTATATCCAGCTGCTCTATTGGGCCACTTAATCCTGAGGGACTTTAATTGTAGCCGCTTACTCAGCCAGATATATTACCTGGGATAATCGGGTCAAGCGCTCCACTCAAGAGTACAGCAGACACCTGAACCAGCATATCCTTCCTGCCAAGGCTACCTGCCCCAGACAGGAGGTGGCGCTTAACCTCTGACCTACAAAATGCCCATGGGGCAGCAGCACTTTCCCTACAGCTGCTGGATAGTGTGACAGCAGCATTGGGTCTCATTTCCACGCCATTGCACGATATTCCAAACATCCTGTCGGAGTCGTGCCATCAGCTCCGACCTCTAATGACCGCACAGAGTGGCACTCTGCATCCAGCCGGGCTCTTTTGGTGGCCCATGTTACACACACAGTCCAGCGCACGAGGTCAGGCCAGGGCCAAAATGCGGTCAGACAAAGTCCTGCTGGACCCAAGGGGGGGGGGGGGAACTGTTTTGTACAACTATCAATGCCGATGTCCCGATACCATCAAAAACAAGGATCAGCAGACCGCCAAGAGCCCCCCCCAGTGGTGCCATTGGCGGCACACGATAAACCCCCACCCCCCCCCAGCACTGTTAAAAGAGGAAGCAAGCGGTAACTGCAGAAACCACATGATGGAGATACTGCAGCAACTCCCACGCATCAATGAGCCCGGCAGATTGAAAGCAGAAGGAACAAGAGTACTACAGTGTCGGGGCGGGGGGTGGGGGGCGGGGGGCGGGGGACACGGCCAGCCACACGGCTGAGGTTCATCTCCAAAAGAGGTTGGCACAGCAGCTGCTAAAATGTCACACAACGGGAGAATTCAGGATCATGGAAGAGTCCTATAGGTTCGCTCTGCAGGCGCGGTTTGGGTAACTGTACCCACCACCCTGGAGCCAACAAGACACATACGAGCCTTACCCGGTGCAGCTCGATGGACTCGATCCACTGGGACCGGTGCTCTGGGTCTTGCGCCCGCAGGTACCACACACTGTCATTGACGCTGATGTCCAGTCGGCACTCGTCAAACTCGTGGGGCTGTGGGTGGGGGAAGAGAACAAGGGAGAAACAGTGAATACACAAAGTTTGAAAAAAATCCATTAAATAGAGTTACTGCGTTCACAAAATCAAGTGTCTTCTATAGCTGCCCTTTCCTTCCTTTGCTGCCACACAGTGCGGCGTCATTTTTGGGGCAATTTGCCTCACAACGAAATCAGGTGCAGATCTTAATCCATATCCATCATTTCTGTGAAGCAGCAATATACTCCATTAAATACTTTATGACTTATAACATTCACAAAGATGTCTGCCTTCACCCCTCCTTTTGCTGCCACTAAGTGGCATTGCTTCAATGTTGGGGCAAGTCATTTGAAAATTTGAGCAGTCCAAGATCAGAACACGCGAGTCATCATCTGAAAGAGAATGTATCTACGGTGGCAAACCAGTCCCAAAAGCATCCTGAGAAGCGCAATGATGGGCCTTTGCGTGTCTATAAGTCAAAGCACCACAACCATAAGCTCTAAGAAAGACAACTCCTTAATCCAGCCACTTGCATACAGAATTCAATCATAGTTATACAGAAAGAAACAGAATTCAACAGTATTCTGCAAGGAGAAAATCAAAATCCCAGTTCTTCAGAAGGCTTATATTTAAATATGGCCAAGAACGGTGAGCAGACTCCGCTCTCCGTTCATCTCTTACGATGCATTCCGGACTTAAATGCCCCCCCTCCCTCCATGAAACGCAGCACTTGGCTGGCAGTCGCCCCGCACGTGCGGATGCCTTTGCTCCACACCTTCCTCTGGCACTTGAGGCAGGGCTCTTTTTCATGGCCGCGGGCCAAGGGTAGGGGGAGGGGGAGTACGGGAATCAGGGAGGGGGGCAGGGGATCCAGTACTGCAGGCGTGGAGGTCTCCTCTGTAAGCAAGGTTGACGGGATTGAGGTGTGTGTGTGTGTGTGTGTGTGTGTGTGTGTGTGTGTGTGTGTGTGAGAGAGAGCAGCACAGACCTGTTCTCACTGAGAGCTTCGTAACAGCTTGCCCAGAAAAGGAAGGCTCTTCAAAAAGCAGAAGATTAAGCTATAGGGTCGAAGCTGAACGTGTGAGCCACGTGACAGAGGAATGCAAACATGAAAGCAATCATACGTGCTACAGGCAGAAGCACATACTGGTGGTAGTGGTGGTGGTGGTGGGTTCAGACAGAGACATCGGCGCTACGAAATGTTACATTCCCTCCAAATTATCATACCCTATAAAGTCTGGAACGGTCAGCGGCTTTAATATCATTCACTAGGGTCTGGAAATGGACTCCATGACAAGCTGGGCCTTAAAAAGACATAGTACAAGAGCACAATCACCCAAGGAGACTGGCCATAAGAACAGTAATTAAACTTCATCAGTTCTTTCGACATCTTAATTGCTCAACTTCATTGTCATCATAATCACCCTGGAATTCATCCAAAGATGTACAACTATCAGCAGAGCCAATTAAAAAAATATATTTTTTTCTTCTTATGTGTAGGGATCTTGAGCTGCATTACAAATGGTCATGATAGCTGCAAGGTAGAATGAAGAAAAGAATCTGCCAAAACAAAAACAGACCTTGACTTGCAAAGAGTCCATCTTTCTGCTACGTAATCAAATGTCAGGGGGTCAGAGGGCAAAGTCAGATTTCAGATCATGCGCAAGACCTTTTGGACCAACGCAGCACATGATACTGCAGGCCGTTGTGCAAGGGAACATAAAATACCACAAAAATAATAAGTAGAGGGGATAAAACAGATACAGCATGTGACAGTCCTGACAAACACCACAGATATTGAAACCACCAGCTGTAACTTTCACAGTATCTGGAAAATAAGCCTTTGAAGCATGTGATGCCTAACAGAATGGAAAAGCAATCAACCAAGTACCAAATTCTCTTCTTTGGAAGGGAAAATGGAAACGGTGATCAGCATTTCACTTCGTGCTTACTTTCTTGAGGGTGGGGTGGGGGGGGGGGTCACAGAAGAGACACAAATAGCTTTACAGGCTCTTAAAACATTCTGGCACGGGCAACAGCACTTACTAAGGACCGAACAAGAGGGATGATTACGGCACTGGGAATACAGTAATGGAAACATGAGAGGGCAGGCCTCAGGACAGGCAACTCATTTCTGGTGAGGCTGATAATGTTAGAGCTCACGGGTCGACTGAAGAGCACAGCCCTGCAGATGCAAAACAGAGAGCAAGAAAAACGACAAGGAACCTCTGTGGGGCTCACAGTGACTGTCTGATTGTATGGGAAAAGAACTGAGGATTCCAGTAAAAGAAAAAAAAGATCCTTCACTTTTCTGACTCAAACTCTTTCGGTGATCAGAGCTGTCCCCTAAATACCGAAACACAATTACCACATGCCAAAAAGGGGGGTGAATTCACCCATAAGTGACAAGGCAAACTTTTCAAGCAAATGGCAAAATTAACACCACGTCGAGAATCTCCCTGGACAAATGCGTTTCAGCCAATAGCCCATAACCAGGTTTTAAAACTGGAGGAGGCACCAATTTGCCATGGAATGGCCCATATTCAGTGCTGGAAGTAGCTTTTCTGATGCTAATGGATTTCAACGGACGCATTTCCCAATTTTACAATAATCTGTCCACAGGAAGCTGGGATCTCACAGAGCAAAAGCAGACATGCATCCTGCCACGTGCAATAACGCACATGCTCCAGGCCGTAATCTCTTCCTCCTAACATGTCATAGAGGGCAGGGAACACGACCTGCTAGTGTAGGAATGAGACTCCTGTCCTCCAAAGCAAAACCATGCAGACAATACAAGCTCTGACTCCAGAATGGATCATCAGCATCAGTATTAGAAGCCTATGGGAAACTTAATGAAGAGCGTATGACATCTGAAAACCTTAACATGCATTCAGGAATTTGGAGCAATGGGTGATCCAATCAGGATTTCCCAGAAATCATCCAATCAGGAGGGCTGTGATGCAGAGCAAATGCTGGGAAGCAAAGGGCTGCAAAACAGGGTACAACCAGGAGAAGATACTAGGATGCTCATCTCAAGCCAAAAGTCAAAGCAGATTTCAAGCTGAGCCCCCACTAACCCCAAAGCTCCTGCATTGTTATTGGCAAATCGTACTTAATGCCAGACCTCTCTAGGCCATTACTGAGTCTTGCCTCGCCTTGTCAATAAACCTTAAAATTAGGTCTTTGGCACAGAGCCCCAAGACACAGTGAAGGCAACCCGGCACTCTGGTCAACATGTGTAGCCAGGAGGATCACCTGTATGTCAGCGAGGACCACAGATACTTCAGGAAAAAACGCCAAAGAGAATCTCCCGACGTTTCAGTAGGCGTGGTTCATGTTCTTCATCCTGTTGTATAAATCCTCTGATAAGTTAAATCCTTTCAAGATCTGCCTTCCAACAGTAACACCTGACTCATTTAGCAACTGCGTGAGATACGACCTGGTGCCCATTTACACTCTCCACACGAAACGCGATTGGCTACAGTCTTAGGTTACCAAAGCTAGCAAATACGAAGAGCAAACACAGCCCATTGTGACAAAAGGGGTCTGTTTCCACAGCTGATCAAGAAAAGGGAAACACAAGGTTACAAGTCTGTGTCCTGATCCACCAAGATACATACTGCCTTCCAACCTACAAAACAATAATATACCCAAACTTTCAGGGAAAGCACAACAACAGCTGCATAATTGATCGGAAAAAAAACTTCAAGAACGTACCAAAAGTGTAAAAACTGGTACTGGCGCCAAATGATGTAACAACATGGGGTGGGGTATTTTGTTCTGAATTCGAAAAATGGCTGTATATTATGTACATTAAATTTAAGAAAAAAAAATGTTAGAGAGTCGCGATAATTCTAAGCAAAAGAATTTCAATTCACATTTTTTCAGAATCATGCAGCCCTAAGCACAACACAGGACTTGTTATTGAGTTGGCTAAATGTGCAAGCAATGCTTCAAATAGTCTTTGCTTCATCAAATATTGACACAATCAATAGACAAAACACCTTCTTGGTACTAATGAACTGCAGAGGATCTGTAGACATCAGTGGTTCTTATGCAAACATGCACATACTCCAGATGCCATCAACTGACACTGTAACTGCCCTGTGCAATCCTGTGATAAAGAACCACTTGAATTCCACACAAGTCCAACACAGAAATCTGTTAAAGTAACCAACATGTCAACTTTCCTGTTGTGTTTAAGATGAAAATCATTTCAAAATGCTCATGCCATTCAGACTAATGAAACGGTTAAATTTCCCAAAAGAGGTTGTGCAACAAAACCACAAACGAATGTCAGGAGGGAAGAAGAATTTTCTTTTCTGTAAGTTAAGAAACCCATGGTTGTGGTACAACAGCAAATGTACACGTCAAGCAGATAATGCACACACATTAAAATAACCAGCCCTGCACCTACAAGTTCACACTGCTGTCCCAGCACATTGAGCCTCTGTGCAAAAAAGCGTTTTACTGTTTTAAGAAAGTATAAGAGAATGATCAAAAGTCAAAATGTCAAGCATGTTTTCTGATGTGGAATTAAAATTAACGCAATAAACTTAACACAAAGTTATTAACTTAACGTAAGACAGTATGAATGTGAATGAAGCTAATGCTCTTTTGTCTGGCTTTTTAAGCTTAAAATAGAATTATGCTCAAAAAATGGCCTTTTCCATTATAATATACCACAAAAAAAAAAACATGGGCCGAAGTGTTTTAAGACTTTACTGCCCAATACGTGGTAATGACAAAAAGCTTTGCTGTAGCGTGTAAGGCTCCATGTTTAATGTGCTGCTTTGGCTAAAAGTCCTCATAAACATAAAAGTCCTCATAGTTCTCCACTAAACTCAAAAGGAAATTGGCTTTCCTCCTCAGGCTGATTTATAAAACATATAAATCACTGTGATAAATATCTAATTCAAAAAGTCAACACTAAACTTTCAAAAGTTTCAAACAATGCCTGGCTATTTTCATCAAGCTTCTTTATAAAGCACTAAAGACTCATGGTGACTTGAGCTACAAATGTCTGTTTTGTAGAATAATAAGTTTTTAAGCCATTTTAACCAGGTCCCATCCAAAGGAATCATCTTGATCATTTTGCTCTTTGACACTCCAGTGCAGACAGTACAGTGCAACACACAACTTTCATGACAGTACCAGTTCTACAAGATCCTCCAAGACTGCTTTCAAATTAAAGCCCTTAAAATTTACTTGAGGCAACATGATATATTACACACTGCACTCAACCACAGCTTTACAGTTTTTATATTATTGACTACACAGAGTTGCCTTGCTCCTAATTAGAGTAATATACACAAATACCCTGTAGGACCAACGAACATAAAATTGTATTTGTAGATTGTAGTTACTGACTAGCTCTTCATAAGGAAGAAGGCCTTGGCTAGACTGTAAGAGTATTTTCAAAATGGCTGTATTAGGTAAGAGAATGACTTCAGATGGGATTGTCAGACTTCAGGAGACTGAACTAGGTAAAAAAAAATACTTATCCAGGGCAGGTCATTCTATGTTTCATAAAAGGCCCTTATTCGTAACACTGTCCACTGCCGCAGGGGTTCTGATCTTGTACTTAATGCACTGCTGGCCATGATGCATAGGGCCTTGTGACTCGCAGTGTAAAAAATGGAGCGTGTCAATACAAGGGTGTGAATCAGATAGGCTTGCGATAGTTTTGCATGTAAACACAGGGGAAGTGCTGCGATTGGCTGAGTCCCAAACACAAGGACAATGGCCATACCGGACAAAATAACCTGAGGCACTGAATAAAAACAAGAGTAATGCAAACTGACATCACTATGCGTCACTGGAAAGGCGCCGTTAGCCGATCCATCCACAAGCTCGTGATTAATGATTCTGAACATGAAGCAAGAGCACGTGCTTCCACGCTTCTTCCTCAGCCAAGCCGTGCAAACCAAGCCAAGGTTTTGCAAGGGTCAATGTTGAAACTGCCGCTTCTTGCGGGTGTTAGTCATTAACAGCACAGGCAGGTTGCGATGTCATTCTCTTCATCAGAACACTCGGGCATAAACAACTCTTCTTTAAAATTAATCAAGGGTGAAGGAGATCATGTCCAAAAACGTCTTGTGCTTCTTCATTATGAGTAATTAATGTACAGATTAAATAGCTAGTGATGCAATCAGGTTTTTTTCGTCATTCTAAATGAGTTGCATACTGAGGAAGGAAAGGTGGGAGAACTTTCAGCAATACCTCAGGAACAACTTCTCCATTGATTATGGTCCAGGCCAATCTCTTCTCTCACTGAAGACTCAAAGATTACATAATCCTTTACTTCTTACTATGACCTTGTGAATATCAGTGTCCTTACTGGCCAATTCCCCCACACCTGCCAGTAAAGGACGTAGGGGAACGAGGCCGCACACTAACATTGAGGCCAGGCGGCCCCGTGATCAGAGCCCCCCCCCCCAACTGGGGCTCCTCTGCCCCGGTTCGCAGAACAAGGCCCTTACCGTGATTACAGCCTTGCTCAGGCACAGCGAGCCCCTGCAGCCGTACTCCCTCTCATCCTGCGATTTGTAATAGCTCAGTGTGTTGTTCTTCAACACCACCCAGCGGTCCTGCCACCCGTGGATGTAATTGGTCCACTGAAGGAAGAAGAAAAAAAAGCATCATGCATACCGTGCATACCATGCACTGGAATTTATAAATTAATAAATCATTTCAATTTGGTGGAGATGCAAAAATAGGAATCTGATCCAAACAAAACTATGACTAATCTAATTCACCAGTTAACTGTGGGCCCAAATCATACTATACAAGTATATATATTTTTTTAACAAAGTTTAAAATTTGCACGTTACAGAGGTAAAAATGAGTTTAATGTTTCTCTGGTTATCCCTTGTGTAGTTATGGAGTTGATTTGGTAAATCCGGGCTCAGGTACACCAGAATTAAGTATGAAGACTTGCGAGCCTCTGATAACCTAAAACTTTTCAGTATCAAGCAAATACAGAAATCCTAATCGTATTACCTAGCGAATCATTAAAGACATTTAATTCTCCGTTAATAAGTTTACACTGTGCCTCTATACATAACAACAAATTGTTTGTCTGGGTAATAATCCTTTTGAGCAACCTGCGACAGATACTGAAAGGACCAGTTAACTAGAGAGCCTGACAGCGGAATTAAGGTAGGATTAGCTCCAAACTTGGACAGCTCTAACTAATCAGATAGGTCATCTAGCAGCTAGCTGGTTATCCGGTGGTAATGGACTGCCTCAGTGAAAACGGACATCCGGCAATAGGAGTGAGGCAAACCGCAGCTGTCACTTATTAACCGGACACTTTCACGTCCAGGCAGGCTGCCCTGCGGACACAGTCCACTTTCCTCGCCCCGAGGACCCAGCATCCGCTTTACCTTGCTAAGGATCCCGCTAAACTCGTTGTAGTGCTGACCGGACTCCGTCTCTAGATCCTCCTCGGATCCAGAAGAATTCCAGCTCTGATTATCCGACATTTTGTACAATTCAGTCAATCGACGTCGTCGATCCAAAAAAAAATAATAATGATAACCCGATGTGTCAAATGGCCAGCTAGCCGGAGAGCCAAGTGAGAGCAAAGGAAAACGGGGAAATTCGACCGCCGTCGTTAGTTTGTAAAACTCGAAATAACAGTCCGAGGCAGAAAATAACTCATCGTGGTAACGGTCACATTAGGGCTGGATTCAAACGGGAACACCGGAGCGACCAATGTAGACGCGGGACATCACAGGCTAAGCGGTTAGCCGGTTAGGAAGCTACACGGACGACCGAAACACACCCCTTCTGATTTCCGAAGCGGCGGCGGCAGCGGTGTCTTACAGAACTACAGCGCGGAAGAAAAAAAAGGGCGCGCAGGAAACAGCCTGGCCGCGGTACCAGGCGGAGACCCACGGCTGATTTCCGGGGGATAAGCCAAAGTTCAAGAAGCTGCGGTGACCGAAGTATCGAGCACCTCAGTCCTTAGCACGCACCGTACGAACCACCGCCTGCCGGGCTTGTGAGAGTGTGCGGCGCGTGCCGCTGCTAGTGGAGGGGCGCTGGCTGCGCCGCTACGTCACTTGACCCGCCCCTAAAACGAAGTCGACCCCGCCCATATGTACATATATGCCAGCGGTTCGGGTAACGAAGCCCGAGCTCTAGGGACCGGCTTAGAAACTGTACTGCGTTTGATTCTATACTTTGATTTGAATACGGAGTCATTTCAATTATTAATTTTAGCATTTTAAACAACGTCATACATTCATAATGTGTTTATGAAGATTATAACGACGCTGTAACTGGTTAAGAAACTATATATATATATGACAAAATGAACAAACGAAACTTAACGAAACGAAATGCTTCCAGTTGAAATCTTTGGGAACGTACTTTCGCCTGCTCGAGCTGTGTTTTATTTACACCGCAGCCTGGAGAACCACATTAAAGAGTTTTTGTACCAGCTCGATAAGCATTCTTGACGCACACGTTCCTCGGTATCAGGGCAAAAATACTGATAAAAATGTAGTCAGTACAGTATGTAACAGGTACAAATTGTGCTGGGTAAACGGAGAATTTAATATGGAAGCTTGCGTATGAATTAGGGCATTAATTTTATGCTGAGGTGCACTGCTTTATGATTTGGCTTCATGTGTTATTCAATACTAAAATCAAAGGTCTTCATTTTTTCAAGGACAGCGTGTACGAAACCCTTAGTCAGGAGACTAAGGTTATAGATGTCTGATATTTATGTTATTCACTATAGCTATCAATATTTGGTTTTGTCACCTTAGGACAATATTCATCTGCAGGATTCAAACAGGAAAACTGAAACAAAGGTTTGGTGTAATACATACTTTTTTATATTAAACATTGTGTATTTTTAGTAACCAATAGATACATGTTTTATTATGCAATGGTAAAATGCAACCAGGACAGAAAAGGTTCATGTATTTGCTTGTCTCTTCCTGGCACATTCTAGCTGTGGTGGCACTGGTTAAATGGGATTCGCCATGCCAGTGCAAGCCTGTGGTAAGCTGAGAAGCAGATGGTTAAAACACAGGAGTGGTAACAGGACCTTCAGCAGCACAGTAAGTCAGCTGTCAGCATCACACCTTCAGAGCTGTAGGTTTGATTTCTGCTGCAGGCTGTTTCTGTGTTCTCAGTGTGTTCTTCACACCTGTGTCCTGCCGCAGCTCAAGAACATGTGCTTAGGTAACCTTAGTGTTTAGTGTTTTCTAAATCCGGTCCTCAGGGACCGGCAGACAGTCCACATTTCTACTCTCTAAAATGTAGACTGTCTGGTAGGGCACTGAGAGGGAGCAAAAACATGGACTGTCTGTGAGTCCCCAAGGACCGGGTTGGGAAACACTGCTCTAGCTGTAATTGAATGTGTGCACCCTGCAGTGGACTGGCATGGCATAAGGTCCATGAGCCATACTAAATAAGAAATTATGGAAAATGGATAGGTGTAATATCTTATTGCTTATTACCAGGAGCCAAATTTTCCCCACATATCACCATGTTACAAGGCAAAGAAGGTTCTTCCCTTTCAGAAAACTGCAGGTTTTTACATATTATACAACATAATTATTACCGAACACATAACTCTATGTTTTAACCTGAAGGTTAAAAACTCCAACTGTTATTCAATCCTGATTTTAACATACAAATATGCTCCACTAATCATTTGATGGTTTCATACAACAAAAATAATCGCAGTAATGATCAGAACACTTCTCACCTTGGGCTAATTTTCCTCTGTTCCCCATTACTTCTGCAAATGAAAGTTTCAGTCTCCTTTGCACAAAGGCAGGTGTTCTTACATTAACCCCTAAGGATTTCCCAGGTAATGTTTAGAGCTGTCAACAGCTATGAAATCAAGCACTAAATCACTCTCTAATGAAAATGACATAGTCAGTTGCTTTTGCATGTTTTTAATTGTTTTTTTTTTGTGAGGGTCACAGGGCTTGAATTTACTTGTAAAATTCAGCATACTAGTTGAAGTTCGAAGACAACATGCATGACAATCTCAGTTAAAGCAAAAAAATTGGGGGTATTTTGGAGAGGTGTAGCAAGTTTATTGAGCAGCAGGGAAGCTGCATCTCCATAGAGTGTCGCTAAGCCGCCTCATGCACAGGAACAATGAGGGAATCTCACACTTAGGCCTATTGATTCATAATTGACTATTATCATTGCTTCACTGCATGTAACATCTTCATACACAATGACAGTTTGAATAGAGTCTTCGTACATGATGGACAGCTTCCGGCACCGTATGTGATTATATCTGCTATATTTGATGCCAATGGCATAGATGAGAATTTGAAGAGTTGGGGGGGGGACTTGACTTGGCGGGGGGGACACAAATTAAAAATTTTAATACAAAGGTCTATTTATTGGGGGGGGGGGGGTCCTCTGCTGCTCCTTCACCACTGTTTGATACAAAAGGTCTTCATCTTTATCTAACTGCTTTTCCTGGGGAGGGTTATGGTGGACACCTACCAGGCAGGTCATCCGGCACTCCCAAGCCGCCTAGAGGGTACAGCCCCTCCGGCGTGTCCGGGGTCTAATCCGGGGTCTCCGCCCAGTGGGAGGTGCCCAGAACAGCTCCCTTGGGAGGCATCCAGGTGGGAGCCTTGTAAAATGCCTCAGCTGACTTCTCTGGATCTTAATAAGCAACGGCTCTGTTTCAGGGTGCCTCAGGATCTCTGAGGTCCGCACCCTGACATGCTGAGTGAGCCTGGAAACCTCATTTTGGCTTCTTGTGTTCATGAACTTTGTTCTTTTTGTCATTACTCACAGCTTATGACAAGTCCTACACTGGGAACACACACACACATACATACACATTTGTAATTATATCTTTGTGGGGACTCTCCATTCATTTCTATGGGGATAACTCTAATCCCAACGATGACACCCTAATGGCTACCCAGCCCAAACCTTAACCTGTAAGACATTGTAATTTGCTTATTCACGTTCGTCCCTCGGCCAATGGCTTTATCAAAAAATAGATAGAATACGTTAGGATCATGAGATCAGGTTGGTTAGTCATGGGTTCCATGGCTGCATGAGGGTTATGTGATCATGGGACTATGAGAAACCACAAGACCCCCATTAAGCAAACAGTGAGCACTCTTCCTTATAATCAGCAAGATTACCACTGTTTCAGGAATTCGAATTTAGAACTTGGAGGGCTTACACCGCTATCCAGCCTATCCATGTAATATTTTTCGTTCTCCATTTTAATTCAGAAATTAAATCCCGTGTGGCATTATTTCAGGATTCGTTGTTCACGTTGTGTGGACAATGTGTAGCGGATAAAATAGCGGTCTATCTGCTGAGGGAGGATTACGCAGTTTTCATTTTGTATATAAAGAAAAGGAGATGCCCACAAGTTTCTGAGAAACTCGCAAAGCATAAGATATAGACCTAATGAGGATCTGCTTCGCTAACAACGTAAAAAGTTCACGAATCATGTATGTAAACAGGTCCTAGGATCGCGACAGAAATGTACGGAATAAGTGAAAGTTGGTGCGATCGAATTAGATACACACAGAAAGGTTGAAAAGTCAATATTGAATTTTATGGCTGAGGTCAGTTTCTTCGGCTTTAAATATGTTTGATTTAAGTCTGGCAGTTCAGATTAACTTTAACCTTAATACGCACGAAATCCATTATATGTAAAGTGACAAACCGTGACCGTTTTCATTTTGCCTGAAATTATTTGACAGTGTGAAATATATTAAGTTTCGGGTAGAATCAATAAAAATTGTTAAACCATTGTCTGTCGTATAACACGTAATTATTTATTTGGGAAACTGAGATAAGCTCCGGAACCCTCCGCGACCCCCCGCAAGCGGTTTCAGAAAATGGATTTATGGATGAAGTCGCATGACACACGAGACAACTACTGCGGATTTGAAGAAAATAATGACACCTACTGGTGAAAAACAACAAACTGCAAAACAATCCCAGCCAGCGCGACTGTGTTCAGCACTCATTATTTAATGAGTTGTCATTTTATGTAACACTGGATCATAAAATATCATGTCTTCATGCTGTTCTCCATGTAATAAAGTGAACGATCTCCTTACTAATATATTTATTATTGTTTCTGTTGTAGTACTCAAGTCCAGTCTCGAGACCACTTTTTCCACTTACGGCGCATTTCCACTGACATACAGGAACCGAACCGAACCGTACGCGAGTATTAACCAACTACTGCTCCGTCTGGTATCGGAATTCTAAGCATTTCTGGGTCATTCTGTGGAATCGGTGCAATTTCTTTCCCCAGTGCATTATATGTTAAATATGCATGAAATGTAACTTTATAATACATGCTATTATCAAGCAAAGTATCTTCTATAATGTCCTCATTGCAAATTTAAGATACATGATGTAAAACATTGATGAAAGCTACATACTGTAGAACACTGAAAAAATAGTTTGTCACATGTAGTGATCATCTTAGGTCGAAAACGTTATTCTTTATGCCAACAATCTAAAACATTTGACCACTGAAATGAACGACGGTAGACTGTTTACGCGCTAAAGTGGTACACAGGTTACCGATCACGGCGTCCCGACGTCCACTTCTTTATTTTTCACATTCAAGAAGCAAACTTTATTGCTCCCCTTACGGCAGTCGCAAAAAAAAAAAAACTAACCGGAGAAGCACTTTCTTGTACGATACACTACATAAAACTCAAATTATAATGGCATGTCTAACACAAAATATTCTAGCCATTTATTTTAACAGAAAATACTCCATTCTGTATAAATGGTGCTTGCAACCTGTCCCTGCTCACTAATGCTACACTTCACCATGAAATATAATGATTAAAAAAACTTTTTTTGTACTGTCGTGTGACAATATTTCCCATTTATGGATAGCTTTAAATTCATTTTCCTTATATTAAATCAATAATATGTTAGTTAAAATCCTTACAAACACTTACATAACTACATATCACAGAGTATTTACACTGTGTACAGCAGGGTTGGGGCCATCCCGGAATGCATCGATCAATTCCAGTCCAAATCAGGAA